TTGTATTCAGAACGTTGTATTCACCTGTGATGTTTGTTTTTAGTGAAATTTAATAAGTTTTAATTATTTTGTTAATTTGTATTTATCTGTGAGAAATAACCCATAATTTTGTGTTATGATCTATAAATTTTTTTTCCTTCCCTTTCACAGTATTGTACCTTTTGGATCTTATTTACTGTTTCAGTTTCTTAAACTAGGGAGACAATATGATGTTTAAATTGGAGATAATTCTTATACTTCTCTAGAAGTCAGTGATGCTCTTTTACAGTACAAGACAAGTCTGGGACACTGAGGCTGAACAGGAGGGAATCCAAAAGAGAAAACTGAAAAAGGGGAGAAATGTTAGCAAGTCAGAGAGGAAAAGTCTGTGTTAGGAAATTGGAAAGTCAAAAAGACGTCTCCTTGTTGTCAGCTGCTCATAATACAAAATGATAGAATTTGAAAGAAGACACGAAATAAAAGATTCTAATAGTGGTCAGTGATTATAATAATTCTATGGGCAATGTTGAAGAGGTGAGCAAATCTAGCAAGTCATCCTGTAAGCAAAAACTGAGGAAAAAATATTACTATAAAATATTTATTCACCTTTGGACCAAACAACATGGAATTTGCTTGTTATTTATTTAAAACAGAAGTGTTCAAAAAGTCACTTACAATTTAAATTAGGTCTAATAGACCAAATAATTAAAGAATACAGCGTAGCTAAATGCCAGTGAGGACGTCTGTCATTGATGTCTTTGCCCTTATGTTTAGGGGGTGACATTTTATTGAAATTACACTACCCACAAGAAAAAAAAAAGTCAAAGGCCAACACAACAATGTAAGGTGTGTTGTTCAAAGGCAGATAATAATGTAAAAAGAATTTGGAAAGAGATTAGATACTACTGGCCTGTAACATTGTGTTGTGTATTGAATATTTTAAGATGTGCCATACATAGAAAAATTGAGTAAATTCAATAGAATTGTCATTTTAAAATTTCCTGTGATCTTATTCATTTTTATTAATGAAGAATATGTGAATTTTGGTCAGCCTGTATTTAAATAATTGGACTGTTAAGTGCTTAACCCTGACCACATCCTCCACTAGATTTTATCAGGCCGTTTATCAGCTGGTCTTCTACAATGACCATCCCAAATACTTTCTGCTGGTTACCCTGCCTCTTCTCTCTGCACTGCTTGTGTGATTATACCCTTTGACTGCTTCTGGTCTGTTGTCATTTTCCATTTAGTAACAGGCAACAGTGGCTTCACTAATCCATAGCGGTATTTTTTTTTTCTTTTTGGTTTGGAAAAGTCTTGAGATTTGCCTGTTTTGGATTAATTTTCTGAGACTGGGTTCTTTTTGTTTTTTGGGATCTGGGTTCAGTGAGCAGATCTTTCTCTTATCTGAGTTACCCTCAGATTTCATTTTATTGGGTCTGTTTCCCCAAGTAAGTATATTGTAAATTCCAAGTGAAGTGAGAGTCGTAAAGTTCCTGTCACTCAGTAAATGTGTAGCATTAGTCTCTGTATTTCTGGCCACACAGAAGCTAAGCACTGAGTACCCTGTTTTCTACTGAGCACTATGCTGAAATCAGGGCGGAAAGAGTGACCCTAAGACTCAGCTGGAGGGAGATGTGTGGAGTGAGGAGGGCGGGACAGGGCAGCGCCAGGCCAAGGATGGATGGAGGCTGAGCTTGCAGGTGGAGTGATGTGAGCATTGTAGGCTGTAGAGGAGTACGTAGTTTGCGTGAGGGCTGAGAGGGGAAATGAGAAGTAAACCAGGCTGTCAAATAAGCAGCAAGAAGGATCCAGCCAGCACTGCTCCTCTGGACTCCAACACCGTGGTTGGGCTTGGAGAAACCTTGCTGCTTGGGGTTCAGGCAGAGGGATCTCTGGCAGGCCACCTGGCCGCCACAGTTATTTATCAGAAGTGCTGGCTTGAGGGACCTTGGAAGGAACACGTCCCTTAGGTGAGACCTTCCTGCCTTTCCCGTGACCTGCAGAGGAGCTGTTGGCTTGGTTCCAAGTCCAGGGTGCACGGACCAGAGCCAAAGGGAAAGCAAAGGTGAGCTGAGCGCAGATGCTGTCTGTGTGTGGTGTTTCGGGGAGGTCATTTTCAGACTGACATCAGTGAGAACACTGATGACAGTGGCCATGAAACAAAAGAGTGATGCCTTATGGGAAATGCGGCTGCTATACATCTGGCCAAGCTACAGGAGGGGGACGGCTTTGGGTTCCCTGGAGAGGGTCACTTTGAGGGCCTTTCTCACTGTCAAGAGTCTCTTCCAATTCCTCTCCTGGGGCTGGGGGCAATAAGTGACCTTAGCTCAGCTGCTGAGGATTCTGGATGGTGGAGACTAACGGGGGAGCGGAACTCAAAAGGCAGAGAGCTGAGGAAAGGCCTATCCAGGTGGCCAGAGACAGTGGAAGCCAAGGTCACTGGCAGAGAAAGCAGAAGAGGTTCTGCCTAGGATAACTGCTAGGACGAGATGGTCCCCAGCCTGAGCGGCTGCTCTTGACCTTTCTAACAGATTCTTCGCCCTTTGAAGGCACTGAGGGATTCACATATGGTTTACACACAGACAATAACATTCATATAAGTGGCTTTTCAAGATTAATACTTACAGAGTAACTTTTGCCTAGATGTGTGCATTTTTGCAAAATCGATGTTTTCAATAAAATCATTTTGTATTTCTGTATACCAATGATGAACAACTGAAAAATAATATGGATAACAGATAGTATTTTACTTTTGGGAACGGAAAGCCAACTATTAAAAGAATAATTTTAATTGGAAATGAGAAACAAAACAAAGTTTGAATAAAGGGAAAGAAGCAGAAGAGTTAAGATAGTCGCATACTTGGTATGCTATATAATTTATGGAATTAACAAAAATAAGATTACTGTTGTGCTACTTTGTGGCAGTTGACAACCTCTAGTAATATTTCTATGAAGAAAATCATAGTTAAGCAGACTAAAGAGTTTTTGGAAAGGTATAAGCCAAGATACCATAAATTACTCTGTTAATATTTGAAATATGACATAAAGGACATTTAAATTATATGGTATTAAATTATATGATGTTGAATATAAGCAAAACAGTTTGGTAAAAAGCAGCATGCATCCTGATAGTTGTAAACTTGGTAAAACTTTAAGGTACAATAGTCTAGAATAACAATAAGAGGAATCATATTTAATAGTTGTTACTGAGAAATATTGATATAAAAACACTTATGTTCCCTTTTGATATCATTTATCAGAGTAAGCTCCAGAGGTTTTAAAGAATTAAGATGGAAAGTAATTCTTGAAGGGGGACAAAATGGTATATTACAGTTATCTAGCTCTGGAGGATAAATTAATTTTGTACCTGGCTGTGGAAGATGAATTAGTACCTAAATTGTAAGGCCTTGAACATATAAATATTCAGCAATAACAAATTTGATCAATTTTTGACTTAAAAGAAGGAAAAATATGAAATTGTTTGTAATAAACAAAACTGATAAAGGTTAATATATATGTAAAGGTTAATATATAACACAGAGATCTAAGAAAATTACTATGTCCTTTGAAACAATATTGCCAAGGGAGTAAACCTCAAGAAAATAATGTAAAATGAGAAAGGTTTCAAGATCATTGTAGCCACAGTATTTATGTAGTGAAAACCTGGCCTGCCTGCCAATTTGATAATGATTGTGCAACTAGAACAAATTAATAGGCCATCATATTAATAATTATTAAACCCAAGGGCTTTGTGATATATGTAGGTATGTAAGCTAAAAAGTAAAATTATTATACTGTGTTGACACTGATAACAGAGCTAGCAGGATTTTTCAAGCTAAATTATTCTTCCTCAGACTTCAAAGTGAGAAATCAAGTACTCAGTTGCCATATTGGTTCCCATGTTGGAAAACTCCAAAACAATTTTTTTTATCAGTTCGTGTTTGCAGTACATAATGATTACATTCATCGTGAGGAGTTGGTACATGTATATGACACTATTTCTTCTTGCATCCCTTTTTCTCCCTCTCCGAAAGCTCAAATTATATAGAACAATCCCATCATCACATAAAATTCTATTGAACAGTGTTGACCCAAGTTATTGAAGTCCTAAAACTGGAGATTTTCCATCTTTTTCTATAGTTTGGATATACCGTTAGGAATTTGTTTGCATTCCTTTGTGGGTATGCACAGGTATATAACTGAGAGCAGATGTGGCAATGAATAATTCTTAGGTATAGGGAATAGGTATATAATAATGTTAGGTAAAGGGAATTTTCTTTAGTTTCTCAATGGGCAATCATTTCTAGTACAGGTAGATTGCTTTTGGGTTTCCCCCCTCTTTTCATTTTTCCGAGCTATACACAAATGATGGTGGATTTTGGGGAGATATTGTTCAAAGAAGTATGACAATAGTTAAAGTCAACTGTGTGTGTATATATATATATATAATGTATAATTTGTAAAGCAAATACATCTCTCGATCGATCTGCTTCATAAATATATCTTTTTTTAAACTTTTCTATGCTTTATCTTTTTTTTTCTCATTATTTATTTAGATGCATTTTAGGCCTGTCCCGGGGGAGTGTTCATTCACATCTGTCTTAAGTGTATCTTTTTAGTTCATATTCTTTGGGCCAGGTGTGCTGGCCCACGCTTGAAATCCTAGTACCCAGGAGGAAGGAAGTGGATTGCCATGAGTTCGAGGCTACATAGTGAGTTCAAGGCCAGCCCAAACTACAGAGTGAGTCCCTGTCTCAAAACAAAACAAGGGCTGGGGATATAGCTCAGCTGCACAGTGCTTGCCTGGCAAGTACAAGGTCCTGAGTTCAGTGCCTGGTACCAGCTTCCCTGCCATGCAAAAAACCAGAAAAGCCAAATGAAGGGTTGTGTTCTTTGAGCAGGCCCAACTTGTATGAGTGATCATGGTATAGCATTGATGTTTGCTGAGTGAACATTTTAGGGATGAGTTTGTTTTCCTCTGTGAAGTGGAAACTTGACAATAGTCATTTTTCTTCTAGGAACTTATGCAAATATTCTCATGAGGTTCTCTCAGAACCCAATTTCCGAGTCCTCAAAAATCACGAACTCTCTGGACTAAACCAAGAGCAACTAGCGGTGCTGCTCGTCCAAAGTGACCCATTTTTTATGCCTGAGGTAAGTGCCATGATTACCGTTTATACAGTAGGGAGAGTATCCCTGAAGGCACTGTATCACTGATGTACTGGCGGAGCAGAAAAAACCTCAGTCAGCAGCAGGGCCCTGCAGTTGGTGGTCAAGGCTATTGTGAATTGGCCTGAGAGATTCCAGCGGTTTCCTTCCTACCTGAGAATGAATAAGAACTGAAATCAGAGGGGCCGAGGAAGTAGCTCAGCAGCGCAAGTGCCTTCCTGGCAAGTGCGAGGTTGTGAGTTTGATATGCCCCTCCCTCACAAAAAAAGGAAGAATTTAAATCTGGGTGGGATCACTGATAGGCTGCTGCGGAGTCCATGGGTGGGAAAGGGTGACCTCAAGACATAATAGTTGTAGGACTCATTGCTGCTTTATATCAGCGTGGCCTCTAGGAAGAGGTGACCTTTGAACTGAAGTTTGGTGGATGAGAGGGGAGACAAGGGAACTGGCCCTGCTGTTTGAACAGGCTCTCCCACCCCACACCCACAATGTAGTGAAATAAACTTTACTTTTATTTCCCTACCACTTGATAGGCTACATGCCGAGTCAGCAGCCTAGGCACTGGCCTGCCACCTGTTTTCGTAGATAAAGGTTTACTGGAATGCAGCCACACCTATTTGTTTATGTACTATGACTGCCTCTTCACCATCAAGAGGAGCTGGGTAGTTGCAGCAGAGCCAGAATAGCCTGCAAAGCCTAGAATATTTACTGCATAGTACTTTACAGAATGAAGTGTCAAGTCGTGGTGTTGTCTCGGTGTGGGCACGTACCGAGTGCCGGGTAAACAGGCACTCAGGATTGGCCAGGCACTCAGGCCTATAGGTCAGATCTGTAATTTTTAAAATGTGGCTTTCATCTCCAGATGCATGGCTGATCTCATTTGTCACCATTTTCTAGCCAACTGGAACATAGGGAAGAAGTAATGGGAAGACGAATTTTCCTTTTTAAAAGAGGTCACATGGATATTGCAGCTAGCACATCTGCTCATGTTTCATTGGCTATAGCTTTTCACGTGCTCATGCTTAGCTGAAAGGAAGACTGGGAAATGTAGTTTCCAGCTGGGTGAGCATTTGTCTGCCTAAAACTTGGGAACTTCTATTACTAGAAGAAAAATGGGGGCCGATGACTTAGCTCAGCAGCATAAGCATTTGCCTGGCAAGTACGAGGTTGTGAGTTAGATCCCTGGTACAAAAGAAAAAAAAAAAAAAAAAAAAGAGAGAGAGAACAGTGGTGAATAACTAAGTCTTATCTAGATAGAAATATAACTCTTATCTAGATAGAAATAGAGACTTAGAGTCAGAGGATGCTGTTTAAAGCATAAATCCAACCTGATAAAAACTCCTGAAGGTGGAGATGTTACCCTCATGCTCCAAGAGGGACACAGGGATGCATCCCACATGGAGTGGCTGGAGGGATGGGGATCATGTGAGTAAGGCTGGGATTCAGGTGCTCTTTTATGTATGACGAGATAGCTGCTAGTGACTTCTTGAGGGATAAACATTTTTATTCTAAGTTCGGTGTTTTTCTGACCACTCAGAGGACCTTATGGTGCCTTATGGTGGTGAAAACCTATAGTCCCAGCACTCAGGGGGCTGAGGTAGGAGAATCACAGTGAGTTCAAGGCCAAGATGGGCTATGTAGTGAGCTCAAGGCCAGCCTGAACTACACAGCAGGATGTTGTCTCAAATAAAAAAATAAATATGCTTCCAATTTTCTAAAAAAGAAGAGCTTATGCCATGAGAGGTGATTTTGAGTTGGCAACTTTAGGAGAGAGATGAAGGGAAAATGGTCTCATCTAGCTTTTATCAGAGTATAAAGAAGGAGCAGTGTTACCCAAGATCCCCGGCCATATTTAACAGGTAAGGTGGCAGTTTCTCCCTGGAAACTTTCTTTTAGCTAATAACAAAATTCCCATTTACCACTAGTCAGAGTGAAGATCTCCTGCTGGGAGGCTTACTATTTCCTGATCTGGGGGTACAAGGAAGGTGTGCTTATTAAAGAAAGAAATTACTTCATTTGTCCTAGGTTAATAGATGTAGGCGTCATCTTGCTTTGACATTAGTATGGTAGTAAGCATATTAACCAAAGCATCATTTGTGAAGTGGTGAACTCTTCTCCAGGACACCAGTTCTCCATCTTGAGCATGCATCAAAATAAACTGAAGGGTTGTTAAAGCACAGATTTGGGGACCCCCTGCTGCTGCTTCTGGATTCTAACAAATGACCCAATGGTGCTGACAGTGCTTGATCCTGGGACCATACTTTGAGAACCAGTGGCCTAGAGTCTAGAATCTGGATCGTAGACTCCACGGCAACTTTCTCTATTTGGACCTGGCTTTAGAAATTATCTTATGAGGCTAGGGATTTATCTCAGTGGCATAAGTGCCTGCCTGGCAAGTGCAAGGTCATGAGTTTGATTCCTGGTACCAAAAGAAAGAAATTATCTTATATAGCTAAGTCATTGTTCTGGAGTTTGGATGAGTGTCTTTACATAGACAAATCATGGGAACCATGTTGATCTGGTCTACAGTAGAGCCTTTGAGGATAACTTACAAATGTTTTTGTCTTAAAATACCTGAAGCTCAGTTTGTTTTTTTTTTTTTTTTTACTAATTACATTGTTTTCCTCATTTATGGCTTGACGACATATGCCACACCTTGTATGTTGCACAACACAGTGGCACATTTTGTGATTGAGATGAACCAACCAAATGTTTTCCTCCTGTTAGAGCAAAGGAAACAGAAACTGAGAGTAGATCCCTTCATCACTGCTGCTAGGGCCTCAGACTTCAAAAAAGCATCCTTTAGTCCCCCACCCTACAGTCTGAGCACAGTGGCAGTATTCTGCCTTTCAGAAGGAACTCTATCTCTGTAGAGCTAGATATGTAGATACATCTATCTTGGTACAAATGGAAGGTCATTTGAGAAACTTCACATTCTGCTCAGCAGAGACAAAATTCCAAATTCCCAAATAGTTACCCATAAGACACAACTAATTATGAACTAAGTTGATATCCAAAACTAGACCTTCCTTTGGGGGTGCCTTTGTAACATAGAGGTGATACTGCATCCTGTTTGTGGGTGGCCATCTGATCGATATTCTCCCCAGGATTAATCAAGTTCATCACTATCTTTTATTTTGTTTCTAAAGCATTAATTGAATGCACTTTGTCAAAGATCATGGAATATGTTTTATTTCCCTTTGTATGTTTGTTATAGAAATGTTTGTATACTTAAACCTTTACTGAATGTGTGGCAGATACAAGAAGGTGGTTTTTCTCTGTTATCTCTCTCTTCCACAGATATGCAAAAGTTATAAAGGAGAGGGTCGAAAACAGATCTGTAACCAGCAACCGCCCTGTGAAAGACTCCATATTTGTGAACACTTCACGCGGGGGAACTGTAGCTACCCCAACTGCCTCCGATCCCATAACCTGATGGACAGAAAGGTGCTGGCCATCATGAGGGATCATGGGCTGAGCCCAGATGTGGTCCAGAACATTCAAGACATCTGCAACAGCAAGCACATGCGGAGGAATCCTTCTGTGCCCAAACGTAAGTGGTCCTGCCTTTTGAAATTGCATGAACTTTTAAATGAAGGGGAGTCGTAAGGAAAGAAACAGCAGCATCTATAAGGTCTCTACTTTATCACATAAAAATGCCTTTATTTTCTCTTCCAAAGCCTGTCCCAGTGTGTATATCTTAATATGTTCATAGTACTGTAAAAGGTTTGATTGGAAATGACAGTGAATGTTTAAATTTAAACATTTTTATTATAGTAAAAGACATATTACCTTAAACTCCCTCAAAATGCCCCGCCCCTTCAAACACACGTCTCCCATCATTCTTGCCACTTTCTGAAGCAGTTCTGGCAGTCTTCTTTCATGAGTGTCTTCAGTTGTGCTGTTGTGGCTGCCTAGGTGTCCTGAACTGATTCAGAATGTTTACTTTTCATGGTCATTTTGACTTTGGGGAAGAATTAGAAGTTGTACAGTGCCAGATGGATGAAGCAGACTGTGATATTTTTTTTTTTTGTCTTTTTAGTTTTTATCGGTACCAGGGATCGAACTCACGACTGCCTGCTTGCAAGGCAGGCGCTTATGCCGCTGAGCTAAAACCCCAGCCCTTAGACTGTGATGTTTTTGTAGATTTAAAAATTTTTTATGAGTCCATGCTTGCAGTACATAATGTTTGTGTTCCTTGAAGGTGTACATGTATATAACACATCTTAATTCCTTTTTCATCACCTTTCCCTTCCTTCCCTGCCTCTTTCCTCCATCTCTGATCCCTTTTCCATTTAGGAAAAACCTATCTCCTTACTTCCTATTATCTGTCTTTTATTTTGCTCTTTATTTATAATTTGGGTGTCTTATATGAGAAACCATGTGACATTTAAGCTTATGTGTCTGATTTATTTTACTTAATATTATGGTCTTGAGGTGCATCTATTTTCTCACATGATTTGGGTTCATCTTTATTTATGGCATGGCAGTTTACCATTGTGTATAAATACCACATTTTCTTTGTCCATTTTTCTATTGAGAGACAATTAGGCTGCTCCCAAGACTTAGCTATTATGGATTGTGCTGCTATAGACATGATTGTGCCTATATTACTGTAATATAATGTCTTTAACTCTTTCAGAAAGATACCCAGTAGGGGAATAGCTGAATCAAATAGAATTTCTAATTTTAGTTTTTTGAGCAATCTCCACTAATTTCCATAGTGTTTGTTCTAGTTTACATTCCTACCAACATTGTAGAAGGTTTCCTTTTTTCCCACAGTCTCACCACCATTTGTTATTATTAGATTTTTTGGTAGTTTGTTTGTTTGTTGTTTGAGACAGGCTCTCACTATGGAGCCCAGGCTGGCCTTGAACTCACTGTGGAGCCCAAGCTAGTTTTGAACCCATGGTGATCCTCCTGCCTCAGCCTCTCAAGTGTTGGCATTACTGGTGTGTGCCATCACCATGATTTCTTGATGATTGCTATTGCTTCTTGGGTAAGATGGAATCTCAGTGTTTTTAAAATTTGCATTACTTTAATGACCAGCAATGTTGAACATTGCTTTATGTACATATGGGCCATTTGTACTTCTTCTGTAAAGGGTCTGTTTATTTCAGTTGCTCATTTTTTGACTGGATCTTTTATTTTGAATGGTCTAAATTTATATTTCTTTATTTTACTTTTTGTATATTCTGGGTATTAGGCCTGTATCCAAGGAATAGCTGGCAATTCTTTTTCCCATTCTGAAATTTTCTTTTCACACTGTTGTTTCTTTTGCTGTGCAGAAGCTTTTTAATTTGCTATGATCCCATTTGTTGATTCTCACTACTATTTCCTATGCAACTGGAGTTCTGTTCAGAAAGTCTTTATCTATGTCTGTGACTTCAAGGGTTTTACCCATTTTGTTTTTCAGCAGGTGAAGTGTTTCTGTTTTAACATTTAGGTGTTTAGCCAGGCGTGGTGTCACACATCTATAATCCTAGCACTTGGTAGGCTGAAGCAGGAAGATTAGGAGTTTGTCATTTCTAGTTCATCAGTGAAGTAACCATTTTGTTGACTGCAAGATATCTGCTTTCACTATGGTACTGTTGCCCCCTAGGTTTGGGCAGAAAAGAACTCCATCCCCAATTGCACAGTGTGCACGGGGAGCACATGTGAGCACACAGGCAGGCCTCGCAGATGCACCTATACCCCAGACACGTCTTTCACACTCACCCACAATAAACCTCACACACATGCACTCTGCATGCACGCCACGCTCACACATACCACTTCCTGTTTCTGGGCAGACGTGAGTCATTTGGGTTCTGGGAGGGCTGCTGCTTTGTTCATTTTGACTTTGGATATTAAGCTTGGGAACCTTATGAAGTAATCTGGAAGTTTCTGGTTTAAACCAAATCATATCTTGAGAACGTGGTTTCCTTTCTGTTGAAATGTGAATGCTTAGGTGACCAAGTACAGCCAGGTTACAATACGGACAAAATCGGAGTCATTTTTGGCAAAGTCTTCCTAGTTTGCCTTACTCCATCTCCTCATTCACCATAGCAGTGAAAGCTGACTCAGGACAAGGGGTAGTGGGTAACCCCACCTTCAGGCTGGAGTGTTGGGGGTCCCTTGGAGTTCCTGGAGAGAAGCAGGAGAGTTCCAAGTCATACCACTCTTCCCAGACCCCAGAATGCTGGTCCCTACGTTGCGCACTGCATATAGGATTCTTTCTTCTGTTTCATTGTAACCCTTCCACAAGACTTCATGAACCCAGTTAGGGTGAGTTGTTTGACAGAATTTAGATGGCAAGGCTGGAAACCAAAAGAGGAGAAATGGTGGCAGGAATCCAATCCTGTGAGGTTTGGTTTTCATCCTGGTTTTGTTTCCTCTTTTCAGTTCCTGGACGTAGAAATATTCCAGGTAGAGGAAGAAGCAAGAGTAGAGACCGAGCCTCTCAGGACGTCAAGGAGTTCCTGCCTTCCCCCTCAGCTCACAAGCCAAGTGATCACAATTCTGATGGCACCAGCAGCAGAGCTACCCTGGGGGACAGGCTTGCTGATGACATCACCCACAAGTTGACGTTTATAGAGAATGAGGATCCTGCCCAGCTGTCCTCAGTCTCTTCTAAGGCTGCTGATCTTGGAGGACCAGGTCAAGTGGGAGCAAACCAGAGGTTCTCGGAGAATGGCCTTCCAGATAGCCTCTTCTATAGCAATCGAAGCAATCCTACCTCTAATTCCACACCAGTCTCTAACCAGAAGGGCTCCCCATCCTGGCTGAACGCTCAAGCAACTAGGAAGGAAAGTGTGTTCTTTCCAAGTCCAGGTGTCCCTGCTTCTCTTCCTGATATTACACAAACGCCCAAAGCCTTAACCTCCAGGATGCCGATGGGAATGCTTTCATCAGACCATGTAGACATCAAGGCCAAGAGTGGGACTCCAGACACCCAGCAAGTCCCTCTTTTCAATAATAATCTTGGATTGGGCATGAACATGAATTTTGGAACAACATCCAATGGCCAGAGAGAAACAGCATTACTGAGTTACCAGGACAGCAGAACTACTCTGGATCACAAGATTGGCAACATTACCAATGATGACCCTGGAGTAGCATTTCTGAATGGTAAATACAGAGGGAAGACCTTTTGGGCTGGTAAAATCTGTCTTTAGTGCATCAAACAGCTCTGGACTTACGGATGAAACTTGTCACGTAGTTAATGCTACGTATTTTGGTTTAAAAACAGCAGTCATGAGTGGCAAGTTGAAGTGGAGTGGTGTACTTTATGCTTGAAGTCAGAATGAAAGAAACCAGATCCCAGCCACTTCTGGGGAAAGCTCTGTCCCTGCACAAATCCACAGGATGCTTTGGTCTCCTCTGCTTTCTCAGGCACTAGAACTTCGGCCCATGAGACCAAATTAGAACTCTGCACAGCCCTCTTAGCTCTGCCAGTGAGCTTTCGAGGATGACCCCAATCTCCATGCAGTGTAGGTCCTCAATAAAGGGGACTCCCACATATGGAGTCAACAGCAGAGTAGCACAGCTGGGAGCTCTGTCTTTAGGGCTGGGGATGGAGGGTTTGGTTAGCACTGGTGGGGAAGACAGGCAGGACTTGCTGGGAGAACCACACGCAGAGAGTGCTGACAACGGGAGCACTATAGTTAGGTTTTAGCTTAAGAGATAAACACAGCTTACACGTGGCCCTATATCCATGTGTTATTTTCTGGAGGGGCCATCTGGGCCTTCAGGAGCAAGGCACAAATCCCAGGAGTTTTCTTGGACATAGCCCTCTCTTCGATATTCCTTCCTGTATGAGACCATTTGTTTCCATTTTTGCTTCAGATGTGAAGATCAGCATGCATGTGTTCCCGTTTGTTTTACAGATTCCGGATCTGATGTTACAAGTACCACATCTAGGATGGGCTGTCATGGCGCACAGGACATTTGTATAGATTATCTGCGGAACTGCTGTCAGTTTAACAGTGAGTACCAAAAGCTTCCTGTGAGCCTCTACCTTTTGGCCACTGTGAATAATGCTGCTATGAACATAGGCATAGCCATGCACGCTCAAGGCCTCCTTTTATGTGTTTGGAGTAAATATCATGTAGAATTGCTGGGTCATATGGTAATTCTGTGTTTAGCTTTGGGTATACCATTTTCCGAAGTGGCTGGACCATTTGTCCTTCTCACCAGCAAAGCACAAAGGTTCTCATCAGCACACACTCTTTCCTCCCTCCCCTCCATCCTACTAGGATGTGCAGTGGGGGTTAGGGTGAGTGCCTCCCTTCTTTGGATGAGCCACATCTTGAGCAACACACATCCTGTGGATTTCCCTGTGATGTCTTTTTGTTTTAAAGTAGTTGCATATCTTTTAAACATTTCAGAATCAATAATATGTAATTAACTTGAAAAGCAGAACTACTTTTGGCATCCTTGAATGTTGGGCTTGTAAGACTGATTCCTTATTTAGCAAACATTCATTTTAATGACTATCTTTAGTGTGCCCAGCCCCATGCCAGTCATGCAGGCAAAACAGTGAAGCAAAACATTTTCTTTAATGTTTGTAATTAAGCTGGGAATCAACACACACACACACACACACACACACACACACACACTGCACAAAATAAATAAATATGTAATATTAAGCTCAAATTATATTGTTGAATGCTGGCTAAGGGAATGGGAAATCCAGATTAGAGCAAAACAGAGTGAGATTAGTTGTTGGGGGAATTGCATTTTAGGCCAGGGTTTCAAGGAAATGAGAGTGGTTGTTTTTGTTGCTGGAGAGCGTCTTGTTTTGCCATGGAATGGGGACGGTGCACCAAGGCTACCTGCATATTTGAAAATAGCACCAACTCCGTAGGGAATGGAGAGTTTGTGTTTCTGGATTCATTCTTGTGGGTAATAAAACCTCCTGAGTGGTGGTCACAGGGCACAGCAAACAGGCACCTGCACAAGCAAAGGTACAGGTGAGAAACACCCTACAGGGCGGGGAAGACAAATCCACAGTGAACTTAGCTGAGCAGATCAGAATCCCCCAGTGGGCCCTGAGATCATCTTTCTGTCCTTGTAGGCAGCTGCAGCAAAATTCACTTCCACCTGCCTTACCAGTGGCAGCTGTTGATGACACACACTTGGGTGGACTTCCAGGACATGGAGAAGATCGAGAAGGCCTACTGTGACCCCCGGAACGTCATGTGAGTAGGTGACTGTGCTGGGGTATGAGATCAAAGAAAGCAGAGCATTTGGCTTACGGGGCAAAACATCTGACTGCCTCTAGGGATTCTGAAAACACTTGCTGACTGCAGTAAATTAACAGTGGCGATTATTTATTTAGTTGCTATCTGTCAGTGAGTGAGTCACACAGAAAAGCACAGTGCAGAAGTCAGTTCACAGTCTTTGAAGCTCATCACAGAACCTCAGAAAGCACTGAGGGTTTTAGAACAAATGAGCCTTTGGCTTAATTTAATCATTGTTAAGTATGATTTGAATAATTCGATGTAGTTCTAGAGCAGAAATGTGTTGTATGCTTTAGCATTTTCTACTTTCCTTATGCTGGCTCTTTATTCTGGAGGTGTTTTAGAGGATACTTTACGTTTCTGTTCCTTTGGGGGCTGAAATGGTGATACTTACGTGACCATATTTACTTGGGATGTGCAGGAATGTGGGGTGCATCCTCATTTTCCAAGGAAATTCTGTGTGTGTGAGATGTTTGCGTATTTTTCATTCAATACATACTTTAGTAAACTGTAAATGGGGGTTGAGTTGCTGCATGCAGTCAGCAGAGGGTGGTATCAGCTGCTCCCTCATTTCTAGGTTCTAATCCCTGCCCCACCCCAACCCCCTGGTAGACACAGAAGTTCCTCAACTTTGAAACTCCATGTTGACATTTGGGGCCAGATAATTACTTGTTGTGGGGAACTGGTTGGTGGTCTTCTAGGCCTATTCTTTTTTTTTTTTTTTTTTTGGTACCTGGAATTGAACTCAGGACCTTGTGCTTGCCAGGCAGGCTCTGTGCCACTGAGCTATATTCCCGGGCCCTAGGTGTCTATTCTTGATTCCAGTAAGCACCAGTCTCTCTACCCAACCCCAGTGTCTTTGAATATAGTTGCAGGTCCCCTGGGGTCAAAATTAACCTGACTGATGGAAGAGATCTTACTTAGCGTAGTCACCCTCAAATGTTCTTGCCTTGGGATCCCTTAACACTTTTAAAATATATCAGGTGTCTCAAAGACTTTGTTTATGTTGATCATAGATACCAGGATTTATCATATTAATAATTAGAACTGAGAAAATTAAATATTTATGGATCCACTTAGTGACTACAATAAACTAATCATATGTTAACATAAATAACATCTCTACATAACTATGTGTATGTAATTACGTACCTACACATAGATAACTATGACAATGACTGTTCTCCAAGACAAAAAAATGTTATGGAGAAGTATGTCGTAGGTTTATATTTTTGGGCATGTCTTTAATGTCTGCCTTCATAGAAGGTGAACGGATTGTTCATTTAATCTATTGTGAAATCGTATTTCACGCAGCCTGTAGAAAACTTGTACAGTAAAGACAGTAAGAAAGCAAAAAAGGCAAATAATGGATATATTGATATGTATATATATTTATTTTATTTATTTATTTTTTGGCACCGGGAATTGAACTCATGACCTTGCACTTGCAGGCAGGCACTACGCTGCTGAGCTATATCCCTAACCCTTAACATTATTATGAAAATGACTTTGACTTTGCCAGTTCCCTTAAAGAGCCTTAGAGTGCACTTTGGTAATAAATAATTTTAAAAACGGACCTAATGAGAGTTTCCAACTTACTTTCTAATATTGAGCCAATCAGTTGTTTTATGGGCAGTTTTATTTGAGGATATATTTTGAGGAAACAGTAAATTTTGTGACACTCTTAAATGTGTGATGTGGGAAGTATTTCAGTTTTTCTCTCAAATGTAATACCTGGAACTGTAGGAAGAAAAGTTAAGATTTTATTTACAGCATTAAAAACAAAGGAAAGAAAACTTCAAAATCTTTCTCAGTCCTAAAACATTAATTCAGGGGCCAGGGATATAGCTCAGTGGTACAGCACCTTGCCTGGCAAGCACAAGGCCCTGGATTCGATTCCTAGTTTAAAAAAAAAGAGCACTTTGTAGTTTTTTAAATTTTAATGTTAAATTGTTGAGACAAAATATCTAACACCCCAAATTAAAGGTGAAAAAGTTTGTTTGGCTTTACAGTTTGTAGACGTTTCAGTCCGTGATTGGCTCCAAGGCAGGGCTATATAACAGACAGGCATCATAGAGGAGAAACAGCTTGTGGTGGGCAGAAGGAAGCACAGCAACAAGGGCCAACCACAGCTCTTTGTGTTCCCTGTGTCTTATCCAGGCTGTTTAGGATGGGTAGCACTCACACCCTTAACCCTAGTGCCCTTGATCCTAGCATCGCACCATGAATCCATCCCAGGGTCGCGCACTCCAGATCCAGCCAGCTCTGAAAAGCCACCATCAGGCTTTGGGAGACACAAGCCATAACAACTGTAGAAGTGGATGGCAATGAAGCATCTTGTTACATTTATACTTTCTCTCTCTCAGAATTTCGGTAGGAAATCATACACTCGATTTCCAGAAAATGACTTGTGGTCTTAGGCCCATTCGACGCATCTCTACTCCTTCATCGGGCCTGAACTTGGCCAATTCTGTCTTCGCCACCAAGTGGATTTGGTATTGGAAAAATGAACTCGGCAACTGGATTCAGTATGGGGAAAGGGTGAGTACTGTTTTTCCTTGTGGGAGGCTCTGGTTTAAATTTCACAATTTAAAAAGAAAAACCTATTAAAAATATTTCAAGTAAGGCAGAAGTTTTTTGTTGGTTTTTTGCTCTATACACAGCTGGTTTTACATTTTTTCAGCAAGTATATTCTCCTACTGTGATTAGGAACCAAAAATCTATTATTACTAGGGATTGAACCCAGGGCCTGTGCACTGAGTTACATGCTCCGTCCTTATAGTATTTTTTATTTTGAGACAAGATCTTGCTAAGTTGCCAGGCTAGGCTCAAATTTGCAATCCTCTTGTCTCAGCCTCCCACAATACTGTGATTATAGCTGTGTGCTACCCTACTTTGCTTACTAATTATTTTTAAGGGATCCCTTTACATCTGAGTTGGCTCTATGGCCCTCTTTTCTCACTATCAGGTATAGAGCAGATAACTGAGTATTAACAGTCATTGCTGACATAGGCATGACGGTGCACACCAGTAATCCCAGCACTTGGGAGGCTGAGCAGGAGCAACTCATCAATGGTGATCTGCTTGAGTATAGAGCACCCCTATGATTCAGTCACCTTCCAAAAGCCCCACCTCAGACATTTGTGACTTTGGGGGACCATTTTCAATCTAAACCACACCGGCCAACAAAAGAGGGTAAGAGAGCAAAATTAGGCCAACAGGGAGACTGGGATGGTTAATTGTACCAGGGGCTGTGTTAATTTGTTCAAGCAATGAAACGTGTCTGGTGTAGGTGGTCACCAATGTTCAGTCAGTTTGCACATAAAAGACTGGAACTAGAAGATTCTAGAATAGAAATTTAGATAAACTGAGCTGCTGTCCTTCTGTGAGCATCCCTTCCTTTGATTCTTAGGATAAAATAAAAAGCAGGAAGGGAGAGAGACAGACAGGGGAGAGAGAGATTAAGATTAAGTACATAATGAAACCAGAGACATAAAAAAGAGAAAATAAAAGCAGGAGATTAAATGAAGCCCAAAGACAAACTAGGGGCAGGCTCTGCCAGCGTAGGGTCCTCCAGAGTCGCCATCCATGGCCCCTGGGTTTGGCTCTGAGCAGCCTTGCCGGCTGGCAAAGCAAACAGACTTGGGCTGTGTGCAGCGCCCCTGTGCCTCAGGGTGTAGTGTCTCCTGTGGGCCTCACAGAGGGAACAGGGCATGCAGGGGAGAGGAGGGTGATCGAGATAAACAGTCCTCCCATCACTGCGTAGCACAAAATCTTCCAAACTGAGCAGTGGATTTTATCCAATTCCCTTTCCAAAAACCTAGAGTGGAGCTGCCCTGCTGAAATAGGATGCAGAGCAAAGCCCGACTCGGTGCCAGTGCCATCGATCCTCACGGCAAGGAGACTGTCAAAGCGCAGTTCTGTAGAAGTGAGTCCATCAGCACCTGTGAAACTAGAAATGATAACCTTTACTTAGTAAGCCGTGGTTATTTAACTGTGAGTCTGTCATGCTGGCACGTGTTTGTCATCCCCGCACTGTGAGAGGCTGAGATGGGAGAATCGCAAGTTGAAGCTCAGCCTGGCCACCTTAGTAAGACCCTGTCTCAAAAAATAAAGTTAAAAGGAGGCCAGGGATATAACTCAGTGTGAAAACCCTGGATTCAATCCTTCGTACTCCTGAAACCCAACCAACCAACCAACCAACCAACCAACCAACCAACAATAACTACAGATTTCAGTGGGTATGTCAAGCCCTTGCAATTTTCAGTAAGGTAAAGGAGAAAGGTTGGGAAATGTTTGTATTCTAGTGACACTGGAGTCCCAAGTACCAGATCAACACACGAAAACCAGAAATACCAAAACCAAGCCAAAACAAAGGCCTGTCGGTGGTGTTATGGCTGGATGTCCCCCAAGACCTCATGCAGTCACAGATGGGGCCTTTGAGAGGTGCCTGAATCTAGAATGTGTGATGCTGGGGTCCAGGGTGTGCGATTACTAACTCAGTCCACTGATTGGTTTGGCAGAGGAGAAACAGCTCACAGCAAGCAGAAAGCAGCAAAAATCAAGTGGCACAGCAGCCCTCTTCCTGTCCCTTACACTCTATCCAGGTCACACACCATTAGGGACAGCAGCACTCACACCCAGGGTGACCCTTCCCATTATCCTCTGCGATGCTGCTCTGCCGCACTGCCGTGCCACCCTGCCAGCTGACTGAAACCTCTACAGACTATGGCTGTTGGTGTCAGGTATTTTGTCTCACCAGCAAGAAAAGTAACTAAGACAAATGGGAAGTAGTTTATGGTATTTAATTTAAATTTATACACCTTGCATAGATCATAATCCTTAGCAAAATGTAAAGAGACTTCCTGTACTCTGTAATGCAAAGTCGTCTCTGTGACTTTCAGTCTGCACTGAATGCTAAATTTTTAGAATATAACTTTATATTCATTTCATATATAAGACAGATTTGTTCTATGTTCATTAAATGTGAATAATTTCATTGCTGGCACTTCTGTTATTAAAAAAAAAGGTCCTAGTTTTTCTCTGACTGTCCAAGTAAAATGAAGAGTGATTCTAGGAGATGTGAATCTAGAACATGATTGACAACTGGGTTTTCTCATAGATTAATGTGTGATGGTACAGTTCCTTGGTTTGACTCAGTGCACAGGTTGGACGGTTTAGAGGACAGACTCTGCTCTGGAGCTTTCAGATAGTGCCATGCAGATTTTATTTCTTGTAGCTGACTTGTGAATAGGAGTTGGGCAATTGAGAGTTCTGGGCTAGGAATTTCTGTTACAGGATTTAGGGTGCAAATATCTTTACTAACACAAGGTAGGTGGATTTCCTTGACACAAGCTCTCTGGAAGATAGAACAGTGTTCTTTTATGGAAGTTGAGATGCTTGACCAGAACTTGGACCTAGGTAGAGAATGGACAGGGAGAAGGCTGCATAGATGGGCAATTGGGCAGCGATAGTATAGGATGGTTACAAAAGGTGGGCCCTCATAGTCACTGGATATCATCAGGGAGGACACTCAATTGCAGGTCCTTGCAGAGGTTTACCAGCACACAGCTCACCTGTGGAGCTGTGGAACTCACGTGGGGAATAGCAGGATCTGTAGCTTTGGAGAACTGTTCAGAGCGAGAGCAAGCCACAGCTCTGGAAAGTCAAGCTCAAAGCAGTAACTGAGACACAGGACAAAGCGAAGACCTATCCACTACAACTGAGGTATTCATCCAACTCTTGTGGGAGAATAAATAACTGAAGACTCAACTCTTCAGTCATTCTTTCCTGCTGGCGGTGGAAAATCCCAGAACTGGGATTCTATAGTATACGCTGGGATACATTACAGCTATTAAGTGATGGTAGCTGAAAGGAAGCATCTCATAAGCTTGCCACCCACCGCCTGTCACTTAGGACTAAGAGACAGCACTGTCTGGGAGATTTCCAAGGAGCTGGGCCAGCTCAGCACAGACACAGCCAGAATAGATCGCAGAAGAGACACCTGATAATTGATCTGCACAGCACACTTTTAGAGAAGAAGGTCTCCTGAGACTTGGAGAGCTGGGTCCTGATGGAGACCCTCTCGGTCAGTCAGCTGTGTGACCTGGCTGTCACACATCATGACTTCAGAGGGCTGCTGTCCTGTTCGTCTGTAAGGGTCATACATGAGCAAACCAGTGTGTGTATCAGTTGGTGTCTGAGATTCATCTGTGATGCAGACTCAACCAGGGGAAGGTAACCCCGTGGGAACTTTGCCACCTATCAGAGTCTATGGACATCACAAGTGCAGTGTGAAGGCAAGGCCAGGAAGTGCAGAATGGAGATGCCCGACTGATGATCTTCCAGTTCTGGGCCATCTGGCTTGACAACTCATAGACTCATGTGGCTTTTTCATTTTAAACTTAAATTAAATCAAGAATTCAGTTCCACTAGTTGGTTGCACCAGTCACATTTTAAGTGCTCTATAGCCACATACAGCCAGGCAACTGAAGGAGTTAAAAATAAGCCACTCTGGCACATTAACTATTTTGAGCTAAAGGCACTTGAAAAACAGCAGGTGCAAGGTTAATCTAAGCTGGGTGTGGTGGCGCATGCCTGTATCCCAGCACTTGGGAGGCTGAGGCAAGAGAATCATTGTAAGTTTAAGACCAGCCTGGGCTACAGAATGAGCTCAAGACCAGCCTGAACTGCATAGGAAGACCCTGTCTCAAAAAGACCAAAAAAAAAAAAAAAAAAAAAAAAAAAAAAGATAACTGTAATCTTTCTGTTTCTTAAGACCAGAGGGTAAAGTTCTGGAGTGAAAGACACCTTCCCTGTACCAGCAACCATGTTCTTATGGTGAAGGGTGATACCCCACAGCTGAGGGAAATCTGCACAGATCAGCCACATCTGCTCAGCGGCATGTCAGAACTTGAAAGGCTGTGGCCTGTTTTGCCAGGCTTCTACACAGCTGAGTGGGCAGGGGGTGGATATGAGACTTCAACTATAGAGACAAGAAATTCCTAAGCCCAAAAGTGTTGGCTGCTCTTTGGGTCAGAGAAGGCAGATAGTTTGGCAAGCCTCATCCATCCATGGCCACCATCTATCTCCCTTCCAGTTTTCCCTGGCAACATACATCTTCGTGGTATGACTTGTTGGATGCTGTAGGTTAGAAAGTTCTGCCAGAGTCTTCTACCCTTTGTCCTGGTTCTGTCCCTGAGACACAGTCAGCTTCAATCCACTTTGCCCTGTGTGCAGATGTTTGAATGCAGCTTCTTTGCACCAACCATTCTCTGCTGGTGAAGGAAACCAGCTCGGGCTCTTCCTGACCTGGGACATTTTCCTTAGATGGCTTCGTTCTGGGCTTTCATTCTTCCTTTCAGGAAAGGTGGGCACAGGTCCCTTTGGGAGAGGTGGGCACAGATGCAGCAGAAAGCTGGAGCGTATAGAATATTATCTAAGGGACCGTGAGCTCCTCCCTAGCATGGGTGCCACTAGGAATTTTGCTAGCATATTCTAGTTCATGAGAAACAAGAGTTTTACCGCCTTGAGGCAAGATGATTGCTGCAAGTTCAGGGTCAACCTGGGCAACATAGGGAGACCCTATCTCAAAAAGCACTCCCCAAAAAGCCATGGCTGAAATCAGACTAGATACGACAGTAGAAGTTTCCTGAAGACCTACCCTGATGATGTTTTCACTTTTTTTTAAAAATTAGAGTAACAACCAGCCAGGTTCCGATGTCGACTCTTCATACCTGGAGTCTTTCTTTCAGAGCTGTCCAAGGGGAGTTGTACCATTTCAGGCGGGTGTCCGGAACTACGAGCTGAGTTTCCAAGGTGAGTGTGTGTGAGTGTGTTTGTTGGAACACAGCACAGCATGGCAAGCGGGAGCATTGGAGTGTCCCCACACCCCTCACTTAGCGAGGGGAGTGCTTGTGGATGTCAGGCCTGTGTTTAGCGCCCTGGCTCTGAGGGACAATTACTATACCCCTGGGGAAAGACACCCAGCCTGCCCTGCCTCAGTACCCTTATCTGGAAAAGAAGTAGCTTTGGAGGCCACGTTAGCTCCTCAGGCTTGAGCTGATTCTCAGGGGGTAGCTGAATTTTCAGGTGCTGTGGAATGCAACAGTGGTTGTGAGGCTCTGGGTACATTCAGAGCTTTAGAAACTTGCCGTTTCATCTAGACTGATGGTTCATCCACCATATCGACTAAAGCACTTTGTCTTTTTAAATGTTAACTCAAGCCAGTATACAAAGGTCTTCTGCTCAGCTTCTGCTAACTCCTCTGCCATATTTCGTGGGAAAATAGGGCAGAAACTGCACTCCCTCTGCAAGTACTATCCCATTGCACCACCCTGGGACCCTCTGTGCTCATGGTTGGAGACTCCAGGACCAGCCCAGGGGTGTTTTGGCAAAAATGAAACTCTCAGGTCTTGCACTTCCCATATAGTATCTGAGATTTGAATCCTGTTTATTTTGTGTGTGTTGAGCACTGTAGATTTTTTGTTGTTGTTGTTGGTGATGGTGGCACTGGTCTTTTGGAAGACAAGTCAGCAAAACACTGTGATAAAGTACCCAGAGAATGAAAGAGGTGACAGAGAGCACGAGTTGATCTGCAGAGGATTTGGAGTGAGCGGCAGCTTGGGTCCCCAGGTGGAGGACACAGCAGGGGACAGCAGAGCCAGGTCTCAGGGCAGAGATGCTTGGGGTTTCACAGAGCAGGAAAGTCTTCAAGGAGAGATAGAAACCTGGGTTTGTTTGTTTAAACAGAGACACCATGAAAGATTTGAGTAGCACTGCAGAACGGTCTAACTAGCTTGTTTGTTTATTGTGCTGTCTGTTTCATTACACATCACCTTCATTGAGGCTTCATTTATTATAGCAAAATGCATCCACCGCAAGTGTGTCATTGGTTGAGTACTAGCAGATGCCTGTAACCACCCTAATCTTCTTCTATGAAAAGCTGTACATAGAACATTTCCACCAATTCACAATGTTTCCCCTGCCTTTTTGCAGTCAGTTCCTGTCTACCCTGCCATCCTCTACTCCTGTGACAAGCTATACCTGATTTGCTTTATGTCCTTCTAAATCAGTTGTGCTTTTTTTTAGAACTTCATATAAATGGACTCTTTCAGTGTGTAGTCTGTACATAGCTGGCATCTTTCACGAAGAATAATGGTTTTCATTTATGTTGTTGCATGTGTAATAGATTTGCTACTGAGTAATATTCCATTAAAAAGATATACATTATCATATATACAAATATTCCATTATAAAGATATACATTATCATATATACAAAGATATACATTATCATCTTTATATCTGTTGCTCAGTTGATGGCCATTTGAGTTGTTTCCACTTTTTGGTTATTAGAATAATGTAGCTGTGAACATTGTTCTGAAGTCTCTATGTTTAGGTTTTTATTAATCTTTAAATACCCAGGAATGGAACTGCTGGGTCATATAATAGCGCATGTTTAACTTTATGACACTACCAAACTATTTTCCAGAGCACTTGTACTATTTCATGCTCTTACTAGCCATATATAATGACTAAGTTTTTTTTCTTTTTTTGAGACAGGATCTCACTATGTATTTCAGGCTGGCCTTAAACTCACTACATAGCCCAGGCTGGTCTTGAACTCCCCCTCCAGCCTGTGGCAATCCTCTTGCCTCAGCTCTTGAGTGCTGAGGTTATAGGCGTGCACCACCATGCCTGGCATGATTTACTTCATGAAAGGATCACTGTCACAGTGTGGAGCCAGGCCAACAGCACGCATTAATTGTAAATAACATTTCACACTTGCTGTTCAGAGATTTGGCTAACAGGCGCTGACCCATAATCACTGCTTTCTGGTGTGGGGCCGCGTGCACGCATGATGTCTGATCATCTGGTATCCCAGCTCTCCTCTTTTACCATCCAGCTTTAATTTCAATATTATGCTTACTCCTGAGTGTTCACTTAGCACACTGCATGTTGAGTGTTTGAATAAGCAGTGGGGGATATACGTGTCTTATCTTGAGCAGTTTTCATCTGATTTCACACATGACAACTCGGTCATGTACATTTGCCATGTAAATCACCTCTGAAACGAGTCATTTTCTAGGATTGTTCTTGATTGTTTTATTTTTCTGTCTAAAGGGATGATTCAGACAAACATAGTTTCCAAGACTCAGAAGGATGTTGTCCGAAGGCCAACATTTGTTTCGTCGCTGGATGTGGAGCAGATGAGAAGGAGGCCAGAGTAAGTGCTCCGAGGCCCTGATAGCTGGCAGATGTCTGAGAGGTTCACATCCTGATCACAGTGCGTCGCTCGTGCATCTGGATCCTAAGTTCTTGAAAAGTTCCTGCTTGCATTGCCCAGCAGTTTCTTTTTGCATTGTTTTTGAGCGAGGCGGCTGTTAAGCAGAGGGCTCTGGCTGAGAAAATACCACACCAGGGAGTTGGTGTGTGTATGGGCAGTAGCTCAGTAGTGCAGCATTTGCATAGCATGCATGAGGCCCTGGGTTTCCAACCCCAGCACTGGGACACACACACACACACACACACACACACACACACACACACACACACATTTTGTAAAATACTCTGGGCCTCAGCTTTTCCAACTGGGTGGCTGGATTAATGGGGAATGCCTAAGAAATCATCCGGTGCACTGTGTTTTGCACTGGATCCTTCCATGTCCTTGGTTGTATATGATTTATACAGAATGACATGAGAGAGAGAGAGAGAGAGACAGAGGGAGAGAGAGAGAGAGACAGAGAGAGAGACAGACAGACAGACAGACAGACAGAGAGACAGAGAAGGATGTGGTAGCTACATGCATAAGAACTTCGGAGAGAGATCAAATTGATTAAAGGAATTTTTTTTGAGACAGGATCTCACTATGTAGTTCAGGCTAGCCTTGAACTCATTACATAGTCCAGGGTATCCTGGAATTCATGGTGATCCTCCTGCCTCAGCCTCCCTAGCGCTGGGATCACAGGCATGCATGCCTGGCTTAAAGAAGTTCTTTAACATTTTATTTTATTTTTCATTAGTTTAGTTGTACCAATTTATGGTAAGTGGCATTTTAAAAGGACATTTTGCTATGGGATAGTCATTGTAACTTTCTTGTCTGTTCCTGAAACTTTCAGTAAAAATCTACATTGTGTATGAACATTTTCGGAGTTGGATTTTTTTTTTTCCTCCAAGTGATACGTGATAATGAAAACAGATTTCCAAACAGATATAAAATCAAGATGTTCTGGCTAAGTCTATTTGGTTGTAAGAATTGAAAGTATTTCATGAAAAGGATAAACTCAAGGTTTATAACATCTCACGGGAACAAGAACCAGAACTGGAAATGAGCCACAGCAGGACTGCAGGGAGCAGGGTTAATTCAGGTTCTCCTGTAGAGTCAGAGCACCTCAGGGTCGCAGGACCTTGCCTGAGACTTGGTAGATCCTGGACTTTGACTCTCAGTCACCTCAATTAAAAGTCTGTTCACTGTTCATTTGCTGTGGGATTTGGACAAACGAATTACTCTGCACCTTCCAGTCTCTAAAATAGGCTTAAGAGGTTACTTGATTAATACATTCTAGGCATGCAGAACAAATGGCTAGTGTACTAATTTAGTACAAGCTAGCAATATCTCTAATTTTTGTTTTTATTCCCCTGGTATTTACAGACAGTGACACACACGTTTCCCTGTACCTGGTTTCACTTTTTGCAAGTTCAATTTCCTCCTGTCAACCCCAGTTTGCAAATATAGTACAGTATAAAAAGATGTTGACCTGCTGGATGTTGAGAGACCCACATTCATATAACTCTTCTCACAGTATACTGTTATATTTTATATCTTAAATTAATCTTGTAATCTGCAGTTAACCTCTTACTGTGCCTAATTATAAGTTAAGATTTATGATATGTGTAGGAAAAAGCAACAATTTTTGTGGGGTTCAGTTCTTAGCAGTCTCAGGCATCCACTGGGGTTCTTGGAATGTGTTCATTTTGATGAAAGGAAATTTCTGTGTACATGTAAGTAAGATGACTGAATTTTAACCTCAGAGTTTCAATCTGGCTATCTTTTCCAGCTTACTGTCTACCACTAATTAGCCTAATTTTCTTTATATTTATTAATTTGACTTCCCCAAAATTAGAATCAAATTGATGTAGCTATTTAAGGTCATTTGCAGCACTTTTTTTTTTTTTTTTTTTTTTTGAGACAAGGTTTTGTTATATAGTACAGGCTGGGCTTGAACTTGTTCATATAACTCAGGCTGGTCTTGAACTCACAGTGATCTTCCTGTGTCAGCCTCCCAAGTGCTGAGATTACAGGCCTACACTATTACCCCTGGTTTATAGCACTTTTAAATGTTCACAAATCAAGTAAAATATTGCAGGTTAAGATAAAAAGAAATATATAGAGTGATCAAAAAATGTACAGCATGTTAAATTTTTAAAAAATGAGGGGCTGGGGATTTGGCTCAGCGGCATAAGCGCCTGCCTTGCAAGCAGGCAGTCATGAGTCGATCCCTAGTACTGATAAAAAGACCCAAAAAAAAAAAAAATTGTAAAAAATGTCTTACAGGAAAAAAAAAGAAAATAAAATTCTTACATTAAAAACCATATTACCATTCATCCCTACCTCCTTGCTTCAAGTGCATTTATCCCAGTTCTTGCCACTTTCTGATGCAGTTCTCAGTCCTCTTTCATGAGTGTTTTTAGATGAATTGCTCTGGCTGTCTTAATGTCCCGACCTTATTAAAAATGTTTGCCTTTCATGGTCACTTTCACTTTGGGGGAGACTCAGAAGCCGCATGGTGCCAGATCTGGTAGAAGGTGCTGAGGGGCTGGGGATGTAGCTCAGCCGCATAAGCGCCTGCCTTGCAAGCACACAGTCATGAGTTCCATCCCTTCATTTTTTTGGACAGTAGAAACTCCAAACGTTGTAGCCTTTCTTGTCTCAGTCTTAGGTGTTTCTTTCTGTACACATTTATTTTGAGGAAAAGAAATTGGTTTGGAGTATTTCCAAATATGTTCTGTAGTCCACCCACTCCCTGTTTTAGTCATTTACATGTGTCACAGCTGCCCAGGGCCATCCCTATCCTCGAGGAACATTCCTTCCCATTCTACTTACGAATCCAGCATCTTTTATAACCCAGCTCTTATGCCACTGTCCCTTACTGGAGACTGTCCTTTATCTTTCCTTTGTCCTCTGGTGAGACTTAGAATTCCCTTGGTTCACATTCCCCATTCTAGTAGCTTGTAGTGCAGCTGTGCCCTACATGATGATATTCTGGGGATCCTGTACAGGTCAGGGCATATGGTAAGTGCTAGGCCTGTGTAAGTGTAGTCTATCACACAACAAACTCACCTAACAATGCATTCATAACTGTTGCATGACTATAGTAGCAAAATCCTTCCTATCCTTTCCTGCACTCAGTTAAAGCTCCCCAAAGCTTTTGAAGTAATTTGCATCATCTGTGGCATACAGTGATCTAACTTAGAAAGCTGTGCAAGAAAATGAATCAGGACCAGTGTCCACGGGGGTCGTGTAAGGGGTTGTGCAGGAAATGAGCTTTCGTGGTTCTGCTCTCACCTGAGGATACACAGCTCCTGTTTGTTTATTTTTAAAAATATTTATCAGCCCATGTTTGTAGTACGTACTGCTCACATTCCTTGTGTGGAGTTGGTGTATGTGTGTTAACATGTCTTAATTTCTTTTTACATCCCTTTTCCCTTCCCTCCCTCCATCTCTTGGACCCCTTCCTATTTGGAAAAGATCCTGTTATCTACTGTTTATTTTGCTCTTTGATTTATTTATGCTTTGGGTTTCTCATAAAAGAACCATGCAATATTTAAGCTTGTATGTCTGATTTATTTCACTTAACACTGTGGTCTCAAGGGAAATCCAAGTATAAAATACAGATAAAATGGCCAATCTTTCTTTGTTCCAAAAGAATCGTTATTTTACACAAAGGGATCTTTAAACAGTTTTGTTTCTGAAGGCACTTATTTTTTAAATGGAATTGCTTTGATCATGGTAAATTTCAAACATCAATCACAGTAGCGAGGATTAAGTGATAAACTTATATGTAGCTAATATCCATCTTCAGTGACTGTATTTTACCATCTTGTTTCATCTTTCAACTCTATTTTTTTCTTTTGCTAGGATATTTTTATGTGCATCTTACAGGTGTGTGATTTCTCTGTAAAAACTTTAGGTGTCTTTAACAAATAAGGAGTATAAAAACTGTTACTCAATACCCTTAACCCTCCTAAGAAAAGTGGTAGTAATTCTTCCATATTATCTTTTTTGTTTTGGTACTGGGGATCAAACTCACAACCCAGTGCTTGCCAGGCAGGCACTGGTGCTGCTGAGCTAAATCCCTGGCCCCTTTCATACCATCTTATATCCAGTTCATGCTCTGTTTTTTCATTGTCTCCTAAAAGACTTTTCAGAGTTGACTTATTCCAGGCATATCTAAGTAGGGTCTTAGTACTGCATTTGACCTTTGTCTCCAATTTTTAATGTATTAGCTCCTTCCTTGACTTTTTTCATATGATTTTTAAAAAGAATCTGAGTGATTTAACCTATTGAATTGCCCTTGATGGGTAATTTCTATAAATTGATGATATAATTTGGAGAACTGAAGGGTTATACTTGGTCACATTTTCTTAAGGAGATGCAGAACATGTAGTTGTCCTAGTGTTAGTAATGCAGATTAAAGAGTGGCTTCCATCATTCCAGTCTGAAGCTTCCCGTCCTCATCTATCACTTAATGGTCATGGTATCTATTGCCAATCACTGTTTAGGTTCAGTTTGTTATTAAGTATTGCAAAATGGTGATTTTCTAGTTCTCTTGATTCTGTTGCCATTATTGTTTGGTCCTCAGACTCAAGAGAGATAAAGAGAGAGAGAAAACAGAGAAAGAAGGAAAGAGGCCTTTATTGCAGGCATGGGAGAGCTGCTGAAGAGACAAAAGCACCCTCTGGAGGAACAAGGGAAAAACTGCAGCCTTTATTTGGAATTGATGGGGGCGTGGGGGGGGGGAGGGCAGAGTGCAATGACGTATTGACAGCTGATTGGAGGAGCGTTGGCCCGCGGGTGAAAAGCTGAAGGTTTGACTTTTGGGTTCTTGAGAACAAAGGCATCAGGGATATGAAGAGTTGCTGCATTTTAAAACAGTATGATTACTGGCATATCAATACCAGGAAGATGCAAGGGTGTGGTCCAGAGAAAAATACAGAAATAAGCACTAGGTTTCTCTAGAGGAAACCTTGGCTTCGGGGCAGAAGTCAAGGACGGAAAGTTGCCTGTGCCTATGGAACAGGGAGCAAGTGAAATGTCGTTCTCTGCAGTCCTCCGAGGGTGCAGTTCTCTGCTTCCAGTCGTCAGCCTGCGCAGACCCCGCCAGAGGCTGTCCTCTCAACCTTTGTTCCTCAAAGGGATGTCGGCTCTCTCCCTTTGAATGGATACAAGGTACTTGGTTTTGATTTGATTGGTGGGGGAATTCTAAAGGGTGGGGAAAAGTTTACTGATACAAATGTTGGTTTGTTTGAATGAATGAAATGCTTCCACAGAACTCGATTGAGATTCAAAGGCAGTGATCATATGGTTTGCCTCAGGGTCAGCTGGCTACACTGAGGCAGGTCCTCAGGACAACCTTGAGGGACTTATGCCTGTACCTCTATTTCATGGGTGATAGCAAAAGTGACTTGGCTCTGGTTTGGGCCAGGTAATTCTTGGTTTTTTAGCTTCCACATCTCACTCCGATTTCTATGCAGGCCAATCTGCTTAGACTTCATGGGGACATTCAGTTTCTCATCCACTCACTGGTTTTGGACCTTTGGGCAATAAGCTTGTTGGGTCACTGTACTTGGTTGATACTGCTGGGGAGCTCCCTTTGCCTAATGTTTTGTAAACTTTAAGTTGGCCTAAATGGACCGGCTTGCTGCCTGTTGGATTCATTACTACAATGAACAGGCAGATGTGGGCAGATGGAGGCCAGTCTATCCCACCTGCTGTCTGAGACCTGGCAATGATTCTCATGGAGGCCCATCCATATGAGCACGGCATGCTTCCAATGTTCCCTACTTCTGATTTATATATTTTTAAACTTTCTTAGTTAATAGATCTCAGTAATGATTCTATGGAATACACCATGATAAGGGATTGTTTCAAAGAGTCTATGAAAAATTTCAAGATCGAAAAGATAAAGAAGATCCATAATCCAGAGCTCTTGAATTCTTTTGAAAGGTTGGTGACATTATCTGATTCCCTTACATAATATCTGGATTATTTTGATAATTATAGTTTTAAATGTTTTCATACATTTATTAATTTATAATTGTGCTTTTAAATTTTCCATGTTGAAAGTGAATGGAAGAAAATTTTAAAATGATTAGACTTTATTTGGGATCAATGTTATCAGCTAGTGTGGGAGAGGAATTTTCTTTGTATTAAGCCTCATATTTCCTATATTAGAAGGCGACTGCTGATGACAGAGAAAAAGGAAAGACTCTTGTTTTATGCAACAAGCAGCACTCATGTGGATTCCATCTGTGCAAATAATTTCGTGTGGACCTATGATGGAGCTCAAACAAAGAAATATGGACAAGGTCTGTACATGCTTTCATTAAGATGTGTATGTAATCATTTTGTATTTGTCAGCATGTTCGGGATTCAGTAGTCATGGAGAGAAAATAAGCTCATAGTAACATAAGTACCCAAATTAGAAGGGTCGGCTAGGAATATAGCTCAGCCACACAGTACCTGGCAAAATAGAATGGCCCAGCTGACTTGGGCACAGGCCGGCTGCCCTTAGCGTGGCATCTGTCTTTTGCTTACAGACTTCTCCTGTTGGCAACACTGTTTGCCACTGCTGTTCACTGGCAATGGGTTCATTACTAGAGTGACCCTAATCTGTGCTGTTAGAGGCCTCTCCTCATCTCAGCCACACTGGGCCACTTGGGATTTGCAGTCTCAAAGATTGTGTCTGCCCGTAGTCTTTAGCCCTGTTTCTCTTTGCTCATTAACTCTTGCATGCAACTCTTAAAAACACAATCAAATACACAAAAAATGCAGGACAGAACTGTTCACATCTAGGAAGTAACAGTTTAGTGGGTTCAACTCAGAAGTAAGATTAAATTTATATACAGCCTCAAAATGCAAGACAGTAGTAATTCAGCTCATATTTTGAGTGCCTTCTGTACACCAGATGCTGGGCACGTAGTGGTGAACAAGTTAAACACAGGCCCAAACATATAATTTTTTGTAATTAAATGACAAAAATGTACAGCCTCTGTGGAGGAATGATGTAGTGGGAGCTTCCTAAGTTTATTAAGTTTAAATGCATTATTACAACTTACTGGATATATTTGGAGGCTATGGGATAAACATCTTAAGTGACACGTGACATGAAATTTAAACTGTTTCTCATGTGTAGAACTGTTCATATAGTATAATACTATCCATAAACAAAGAATATGATACCAGAGTATGAGTGCATGTATCTATATGTGAATGTATAGAAACAGTTGTGAAAAAATTTCCACCAAGATGCTGTCTGGGGAAAAAGAATGGAAGTGGCCCTGATAGTCAGCTAATGTTAGTCAGCTTTGGGTTACTACAGTGAAATTCCCTGGGCAACTAACTTAGCAACAAGAGAAGGTCTATTTAGTTGAAAAGTATGGTGCTTGCATTGGCTTAGGTCTGGTGAGAGTGGTGGCTGGTATCAAAACAATCAATCTCTAAGAACAGTGCCAAGAGAGGATGGTGGTGCCCCATCATCCCCTAAGAGGACTCACTGCACCCCCATCCCTCACCTAAGAGGCTCCCCAGAGACTTCATATCCTAGATGCTACTGCCTTCCAATAGAATCACTCCAGGAACCAAGCCTTAAAGGTTTAAACCCATGAAGGACAATGAACATTCAAACCATAGCTTTCTTATTTTATTTCAAATACAGTACAATGTCATTTATCTAGAATACTCAGTATCTGATCTAGTCAAGATAAGCCATATTTTTAGAGTTTAAACATCTATTAGGATAATCACAAATATAATAAATGGAAAATGTATTAAACAGTTCTCACAAAAATAATTCACTTTACATACTGATTTTTGTGTAGAAATTAGAATTTTCACTTCCTTGACACTGAGAAAAGTATGAATAGGAAATTTTCATGTGCCCAGAACTTGTGTATCTGCCAGTGATGGAAAGCTCCATGGTTATCTGGGGTGTTCTGAAATGAAACAACAGTTGTGTATCAGCTGTCTGGAAAGCTTGGTTAGGTCAGTTCCTTTCCCATCCTTTCCTTTGACATTTCCGAGGACCTTGCCTCAGTAGTAAATGACCTTGTGCCTCAAAATGTGTGCACTATAAAGTGGCATCTCCTCCGAAACATCTTTGGCTCATCAGTTCCAGCTTAACTTACTCCACTTCTCCTGCCCAAGTTGCACAGATGGTGCCCCTGCAATGTCACCACATGACCAGGTTACCCCGTAGCTTGTGGTGAGTCCCTACCATTTCCACGGGCTTGTCTGTATTATTTACATGTACTTGTGAAAACATTTTTTGGAGGGCAAGGGAGATTTATAGTATCAGTATTATTGACATACGCTTAGTCTTTTCATCTGAGTCTCTGTAAGTAATCTATAAACCATAATAATGCTTTTATAATGATTCTCAAGCTTTTTCTGATTATTTTTAGGAAACCACTTCTCAAAGGAAGCCATCTATTCTCACAAAAATTGCCTATACGATGCCAGAAACATCGTTATGTTCGTAGCTCGAGTCCTGGCAGGAGATTTTATTGAGGGAAACATGATATACAAGAGCCCTCCGCCACCGTACAACAGCTGTGTGGATACAATGCTGAATCCCTCTGTTTTTGTCATCTTCCAGAAAGATCAGATTTACCCAGCATACTTGATTGAATATACTGAAACAGACAAAGAGAAAAGCTGTGTGATTAGCTAGAGATGATAAGGGCAGCATTATCCGGGATGCCATACCCATTCTCCTTGCAGAGAGGACCAAATTGCTCTAGATAATGGTTAGACTTTTCTATTTTTCACTGTTACTTAGTGTCTTACATTAATGATTCCCTAACTTTGCTGTACAAAAATTCCAATGCCCTGGTTTGTACACTTACCAGTGAAATCACTCCGTGGGGTAAAAGCCAGGTGGTAGTATTTTTTAAAAGCTCTCTTAATAACTTCAATGTGTTGAAAAGTTTGCACTGTCTTAGCTGTAGTTGGTAGAGGTTAGTTTCTAAATTTCCTATACTCAATCATTTTATCTTATTTACTCTTTTTTTTTTAGTTTACTGGGTAACATGGTTTTGTTTTGGTTCAAGTGAACCAACAAAATCAGTTTGGAAAGTTTGAAAGGAAGCTGATGCTGCCTGTGAAATAAGGACAAAAGATGGTACGGCTTTGGGTGGAAGACTGTAAAAGCTGGGAAAAATGTGTAGGGATATGCTAAGAAGAAAAGTAAGAAGGACAGATGTAAATGCTGTTGCAGACATAACAGCAGTGCTGTATCTTATCACGTGATGAAATGGATTTGGGAGCCCATCTCTGTTTCTACATTTGTTTACGTTTGTTTACGAGACAGACCCCAAAAGATTGGCTCTTTTTGGAATGCAGTCCTAAGCCACCAAGTATGACTCAGGAAGGCCACCAACTGGAGTTAATTCTGCATTTGGGTTCTTTGTGTGATTATGGCAAAGTAGACATTTATATTCTAATTAACCTAATTACCAAGAAAGCTTTTTTTTCCCCCCCTCCAGGGCAGGCTTTCAGGAAAGTGTCTATATTTTAGGAGAAATGAGTTGTAGTAGCCAGAGTTATATAAGCATACATTCAAGTGCTTTGTGGTCGTTTGCATGGTAGATGAGGCTCAGGGCCCTCCCTGCAGGAGGATGAGCCTCCGACAGAGCTGCGATTTGCTCTCTGGTAAGCACAGAATTACAACACAGGGAATAATGTCCCAAACAGGCCTAATGCCTGCTGGGACTCATTTGTGTAAATATAGCGGATTATGTGGGGATTGTCATAGTTTTTAGAGCTACTAAAGTGCATAAACCAATATTTCCTTCCATATTGTGAATTAGGTTTTTCCTTCCAATTTTCCTTTTTCAACATTCCATACCCATTGCCAAAATTTCCTACTAGAGTCCCTCCTAGCAGATATGTTACAAATAATTAATTGGCAGAGTAGATTTTTATATTCAGATTTTAGATAGTACAAAAAGGTTCATAGTTCTCTATCAGTAACAAATGTCGACTTTTTTAGAGTATGGTTATTTTCTGGGAGCTTGCCACCAATGATTCTTCTTACTCATTTATTTTTTCTCACAGTGGTTTCCATCTTGACTTTGATCCTTGTACTGTAGAGGTATAGTGTATGCAGCTCTTTCCAGCTGCCCAGGAAACACCTCTAGGTGGATATTTCACGGGCACCTGTGGTCCAAAATGGAAATCTCTGTCTGTCTTCCTCAGAGGAATCCATTCCTACCCTGAGTAAAAACAATCATCGGATCCATTCTGCTCAAGCAGAACTGCAGTCACCCTTGCTCCTCACCTCACCTCCTCATCTATGTTGAAGTCGTTCCCAAGTCTAGTTTTACCTCTTACACATCTCTTTGTCCTCTTATAACGTTTTCTACTGAATGCAATTTAAAATTTTACTTAATGGGACTGCAAATCCAACCTGGATCGCATCTTTTGGATAAAGTTCAAAACCATGATCCCAGCCCCGAAAAGATCTTTCCCTTCCTATTCCTCTGTCATTTATTTTCTTTTGTATAATGCACTCGGCTTCCTGGCAGTTGCTCCCCTTCTTATGTTGTTCAGTGGTTCTCAGTGAGCACATCTGCCTTTTGTTTTTTAATAACAAAAACTTTGCAAGTATGCTTTATTATCCTCAAAATGCAATTAAAAAGTAATATATTATACCTATACATGATTCTAGAAGTAAATTAAAAATTAAAACTAACAAAAGAAATAAAAGGTACATATCTTGGGTACAATACTACAGTACTATAAGACATGAAGAAGTCCGATGTTTACGTATATTTATAATGAATGTAAACTTGAAAGCAGATCAGAATCTATTTACAGAGAAGCATGGAAAAATGAAGCAGGGAAATGAGTGGACATGAGACTGTAGACTAATGATACAACAACTGTGGACTATAGTGACTTACTTACATATGATAATACTTATGTGTGTACAGGAGAAAGGACGAAATGACCTTCATTGATACACAGTACTATATAAGAAAATGTCGACAAAAAATGAGGACATACATTTTTGCAGTCGAGCTTTGTGTCTTACATGAATGTCAGGTGAGACATTCAAGATTCGTATAGGGCGCAGAATAATTTCTTATTGTGAGAAGCTATCCAATGTATTGCAAAGCGTTCAGTGTACCTGGCTCTCATATGCTAAATGTTAGTACTGCCCCTTCACCCAATCACAGCTACCACAAACCCTATCAGGCCTAATCATCCTTTTCAGAGCAGATGTTCTGTACTATCATCCCCTTTGTGCCCTGAGATGATTCATAGATAATATCTTACATAAAGGGATTTCTTTAAAAATTAATTGACTGCTGTAGTCCTATTGTAATGGAGACAAGTTGTAATGAAAATAAGATGAATTTTCTTATGTAAATGCTGAGGCATAACTACGTTATAAACCATGACACAGACAAACGTGTACCCTTACAATGAATAGTTTCGGGCATAAGACTCAATCAGGAGCTATTGCCTATAGCACAGGACAATGAACTATAAGAGGCATGGTAACACAATGAAAACGGTTAAGTCATAACAGCCCACATGCTTTATCTGTCTATGATAAAGGAATGGGCGAAATCACCTTAACTGAAATAAACATAGTAGGGCGAATTACAAATCATCTCAGAAGAAACAAATGCATTGACTATATTCTTTCTGACGAGTTGTAAGTCCTACCTAAATGTCCAGCAGGACATTAGACAGTCGTACAAGGTGCAGAATAATTCTTCGTTGTGTGGAACTAATCCACATGCTGTAGGACATCTGTGATCTCTGGCTGCATCTATTCGGTGACAGTATAGTTCTCAGTTCTCATGAAACCAGCCATGACCCGTCACTTTCCAATATACCACTGTGAGAACCACTGACATAGTTCATGTCTAGCATCCTTAGATGAACCCAACTGTTACTTCTGTAGCTGAGATCCTTGCCTCCAAAATTCCTAGTTTTTAAAATGCTTTGTGCCTTGATGTGTTCATTTTTAGGATCTATACAATTTGAAATGGTTTCCTTTCTGTATTGGAATGTAAGCTCCTGCACCAAATTGTTCTATTTTATTTCTGTTATACCCAGCACCCAGGCTAGCCATGTTCTTCCTATGCTCGTGCCTTGCAAAAGCCTGTGGAATTAGTAACATCAACTATTTATGTTTTAGTAATCAAGTTGTACTACTTCCTGATTTGCTTGAGAATAACAAATAAAAAGAAAAAAAATTCTGTTCTGTTGCCTTTATTTGCTGCATTTGTTGGTGTCTCCACAAAGATAATCAACTGCAGATACCAGTTTATTCCAAGGAGAGAAGAGACAGTGAGTTTTATTACTTGTTATGGTTTAGATGAAGGATGACCTCCAGCACTCTCCCGCGTGCAGTGGCAGGGTGTTTGGAACATCACTGGATCGTGGGGGTTCTAGAGTTGACTTGCTGTTAGCTGGCTCACTGGGTTGTGACTTAGAAGGGCATGTCTTTCTCTTTGCTCCTCCTTTCTCTGCTTCCTGGCCACCATGACATAAACAGCTTTCTTCTTCCCAGACTGTTCCACCATGGTCTTTCTGCATTTGAGCCTGTCCACCAAGGACTGAACTGTCTGAAATCATGAGCCATAAACACCTCCTCCTGGATGCTGTGGGTGTTGGATATTGTGTCTCAGCCACCAGAAAAGTGACTAAGACAACATTCCAGGATTTGATGAGCAAGGAACAATAGCCTTTAGCCCACTGCCACGCAAGGCAGAGGAGATGATGGAGAAGCCCACAGCGGGCTGGCATGTATTTGAGGACTGGCAGCTGCCCACATTCCTCCCTTCCTCTTATCCCAGGATTGGCACCAGGGGTGTACTTTAACAAAAGTTAAAAATATAAATGGTTATCTGCAGAATTATCCAGTCAGTCCTCCAAAAGTCCTGCTCCATACATTCTTTTAAAACTCACAGCTTTGAATGGAGAACATAGGAGAGAGAGAGAGAGAGAGAGCATGGATTTGATAAAGTGAAGGTAAAACTCATTTGATTTGGATCACAACATAAAGATACAGCAAACCAATTTCTGTCCAAACACCTGTATTCAAATACACAAAAATGTATCAAAACAAATACAAGTAGATATTTGAGGGCTTTAATAAATTACTTTTCTTATAAATGCATGCTTATTTGTTTTCTGTGTGTATGTTTTATCACAGCAGGCTTCCAGTAAAATCTGCCATCATGTAGTTTTTGGAGTGGATTCTTCAGCCCATCATTTTAGTAGAAGGAAGCAAAACTAAACAGCAGTTAATTCCTGTCCCCACTTAGCTGCTGTAAAGATACCTACCCTGAAAGCTAGCGGACGCCAGGTGGGAGGTGTGTGCACAGGGCCCCCAGGCCATGACTGAGGCCCTGCATGGTCTCTTTACCTTTCCCTCTGAACCTGCCTGGCCTCTACCTTTTCTTTCCAAACTCTCACTTCTCACATTCCTCACTTGTCTGCTCTGGAGTCCCCCACTCCCTGCAAGTTCCCAAATGAATGAGCTGACTGATCCCCAGACTACAGCAGTCAGACATGGCAACAGTTTGCATCAGAGATGCCCCCGCAACTCAGCAGCTGAGTGTTGAATGAAGGCTTGGTTTTCAGCTTGAGCTACTGGGAGTGACCCCTGCCTGACACTCACTTTTCTCTACTCTTTTTCTTGGTCTGTCTCTTAGTCTGGGTTCTGTCAGAAGCAAATAGTTTATTTGGAAGGTGAACCTGAAACATGGGTGGGGCTAGGGAAGAGAGCTGTGGAAAGAGGGAGAGTAGCACAGGAAGAGCTAAAAGCAGGTTGTGGTCACGGGCAGCTGGGACTCAACCCAGGCTTATCCATCTTTGTATTCTACCACTGAACAGGTATGACTGGGATCTGTGTCAGATCTGTGTCCCTTCCTTCCTCATCTTCCTCAAATCCTGCATGGATCGTCCTCTCTAAACTCAGCTCAGTAAAAACTGGCCTTCTAGTCCTTCAAAGCTGTTTTCATCTCTTATTCCCTATCTTGCCTTGCTTCCTAGAAATCCATTCTCTTATTTTGCCAGCAGTCTCTGTAAAACAACTGTCCTGCCAGGGGGATAGCTTAAAGGCCAGTTGCCTGTCCAGCACACACAAAGCCCAGAGTCTGAGCCTTAGCACCACAAAATAAATAAGCCAACACAAAACACCTGTCCTATAATGTCGCCAAACACTTTATTTTTTAAGAGTTTGTAATATTTCTTTTTAAAACGTACTTTTAGCAGTCCACGTTTGAAGTGATGGTTACACTCACTGGAGAGTTGGTACACAGATGAAACACATCTTGATTCTTCTCACGTTCCCTCCCCGCTCCCTCCTCCATCTCTTGGTTCCCTTCCCAGCTGCAAAAGATCTCTCTCCCTATAAAATACTTTTAGATGGTGGGGATATAGTGATGGCCCAATTCCTGCTTCCGTAAGCTTGAATGCTACAAACAAAAATATAAGTAAACATCGTGGGCCTCTTCTTCACAGAGATGGGGACCCGCCTTGGAGGGGAGGTTGGGGAAAGCCCTGCTGAGCACAAAACAGTGACACAGAGCTCTGCGCATGCAGGCAGAGCACATCACTCCCATCCCACAGCTTCCTCATGAGTCCCCACATCCACTGAGGCAACTCCACATTTCTCAGCAAGTGAGCCGCTGCCTTTTCTCTAACTTCTTTACGTGACCTAACATAGACTCATTCAATACTCACAATCACCTTATAAGACAGTATCGAGGCTGGCTGCATTCTCCCATTCCTTGTCCATCTTGGTATCCTGTGATTAAGTGAGCATGCTGTAGCCGGGTGTGGTGGCACATACTTGTAATTCCAGCACTCAGGAGGCTGAGGCAGGAGGATTGCCACTGTGTCAGAGGCCAGCCTGGGTTACACGGTGAATCCGACCCTGTCTCAACAAACCAAACCAAACCAACCAAACAAGTTAAGCACGAATGACAGATATTTAGCACATGTATGGGTCTATGTGCCTAACTCAACATGCTTGGAGATGCAGCTTAGTGATGGACCGCTTGCATTAAGCTCAGGTTCCACCTCCAGAATCACAAAATAAAATACAACAAAATAACACTGTCTTTGCATGAGAAAAATAAGACAACACAGAGGAAAATGCCATAAACAATGAAGTGATTCACATACAATAGTTGAGATGTTTTATATATTTTTTCATTTGAGAATGAAATCTCAAATCCAGTGTGTGTGTTTCCCATTTCTACCACTTCTGACCTGGGGCAGTCCGCGGTTCAAAAGCACACGGAGGGCCACACATATCAGCGGCCACTTCCCTAATGACCATCTCCTGCCAGCCACCTACAGCGGCCGGGGCCCCTTACTTTCTTACCTTTACAGCCCCTGGCAGTTCCAGCCAGGAGCTCATCTTGTTCAGCTCTTCTCAGACTCTGGCTCCACCAAGCCCTCCAGGCGCTTGGAGCCAAGTCGCGCAGAGGCTGCCGGCCCCTTTCCCGCACGCCAGGCCCTGCCCACCAGGGCGGACGTGACGGGGCGGGGCCGTGCTCGGGCCTGGCTGGCCATGGCGGAGCCCACGGTGTGCTCGTTCCTCACCAAGGTGCTGTGCGCGCACGGCGGCCGCATGCTGCTGCAGGACCTGCGCGGCCACGTGGAGCTGTCGCCCGCGCGGCTCGGGGACGTGCTGCAGCGCGCCGGGCCCGAGCGCTTCCTGCTGCAGGACGTGGAGGCCGAGGCTGGCGGCGCCCGGGCCTGTAGGGTGGTGGCCGTGTCCTCCGCGCGCCTGTGCGCCCGCTACCAGCGCGGCGAGTGCCGAGGCTGCGACCAGCTGCACTTCTGCCGCCGGCACATGCTGGGCAAGTGCCCGCATCGGGACTGCTGGTGAGGGGCGCAGGGCGCCAGGGGCGGGGACCCCTCCCGAAGGGCAAGCTGGAAGGGGCCCCAGGCTGCTACCGAGGCCCCCCTGCATCCTCACTGAAAGTTTGTTTGTTTTGGGGACCGGATACCTCTGTGCAGCCCAGGCTAGCCTCAAACTGTCTGCGAACCTCTGCCTGGGCTTCCTGAGTGTTAGGGTTACAGGCCTTAAGTCTGGGTTAAATCCATGTCCTCCGAGTTCACTTACTTACTGTGCTCCTTGAAGGAACATCTGAGAATCTTGGGAGTTGCACGGACCTTTTGAGCCCGCACAGTGTAGGGTTCAAGCCCTGGTCTGGTCTGACCCCTGGCAACCTAGGCTTGGGAGGGGGGCGGAGCAAGTACTATGCGCAGCTGGTAATGCGGGACTCTCCCCTGGGCCCACTGTGCCGCCTATCCCGGCGAGGGGAGGAGGAGGGGGAGGAGTAGGGGGTGGGGTGACTTGGCTTTAGAGCCTGGAACAGGAAAATGACCCTGGAAAGGAAATTACTTTAGTCTAGCTTTCTGATTATCTACCAGTAAGCCTTCACCTTTACAAGTGGGCTGCGAGCTGGCTGCTTTCCCAGCTTCTGATTCAGAGCTTGGTGTTCTTCTAGGTCCACCTGCAGCCTGTCCCATGACATCCACACCCTGGTGAACATCCAGGTTCTGAAAAACCACGGGCTCTTTGGCCTCAACGAAGCCCAGCTTGGGGTGCTGCTTTTACAGAATGACCCCTCCCTTTTACCGGAGGTGAGCCACCATCCACCTACCTGCATTTGTTGCAAGTGTTTTCTCTATTTACTCTGTGGCGTTTATCTTAAAAGTAACGGCTTTGAAGCAGTATGACAGTGTTAGATATTTTAAAAATACGTGGTGTAATTGCTATGATGGGAAAATTAGCATGTTTCTTTTCACTTAGACATACTCAGAATTTTTTAAACAAAATCAACTCCCAAGGGGAGATAGTATGAGACTATCAATTAAAAGTGGCATTTTCTAATCTGGCATCATCGTTCTGTGATAGACATTCCCAGGTTGCCAGAAGAGGGGTGGGAGGGAGGACACAGAGGAGGCTGGTGGTTATGATGATGGCAGGGGAACAACAAGGCTGGGGATGTGACTCCCATCCTCCTCTGTGAGGCACAGAATCTGTACCCCGAAGGCCATCTGGAGTGGATCTTGAGACTAAAGGGTTCTTCTTGACACCTTGCTTTGGGAATTTCTCCAAGCTTAGCAGCCAGGTTTGTGAGGTTGTGGCTGGGATCCTTGTGTTCCAGCTGTGTTGTGTAGCGTATGTACAAGCAGCAGCATTATTGGCAAGAAGGGTCAGGAGGGTGGAAGCCACCATAAGACAGGGATAGAGCAATTGCTATGTGCCTTTTAATTTCATATATCTAGATTTACAGACATGTGAGTTTTATATTGTCAAGTCGATTACATATTTTTCTTTGTGGCTTCAGCCTAGATATCTTGGTTATTTGTCTAGTTGCTGAGACAAAATACCTGATATCCAAAGTTAAAGGAGAAAGGTTTATTTACTCACAATTTGTGGAGATTTCAGTTCGTAATCAGCTGGCCCTGAGAGAGGGAAGCATGTAGAGAGAATCACAGAGAAGAAACAGTTCATGGTGGGCAGAAGGTAGCAAAGCAGCAAGGGGTGACCACAGCTCTTTCTATCCCGAGTATCTTATGCAAGCTACTCAGGGCCAGTAGCATGCGCACCCTTAATCCTAGTGCCCTGGAGCCTAGCATTGCACCATGAATCAATGCCAGTGTCATACCCTGTAGATCCAGTAACCTCTGAAGAAACCTCACCTATGACCACATGGGGCTCTGGGGGGACATCTAGACACAAACCATAACACCAGTATCCTGGGTGCAGCCTCACTCCAGAGTTCCATGAACCCTTACAATAGGAGCTCATGCCATCAGCTGGGACTGGAGGTGTGGTTGTGTGGCATTGATCATGGCCACTTAAATACCAGGGACTTAGACTCTTTTTTGAAAGGGTCTGATGATTCACCCTTTTCTGAAACACAGGGGACAGTAAAAAAGATGATAAGGGACAGTATGTACAATATTATGCTGCCACATTTGAAGACTTAGATGACATGGACCTGATTCTGGAAACTGGAGCTCATCAAAATTGATTCAGAAAGAAATAGAAAGCCAGAATAGTCATGCATATTTTTAAAAATAAAAGTAGCAAGTAAATGTATCCCCAAACATTAGCCTGCTACAAGAAAGTATTAGGTTGGATGGGTGATGTGGCACATGGTGTAATCCCAGCACTCTGGGAGACAGAGGCAGGAGGATTGCTAAATTCCAGTCTGGTTTATGCAGTTTAGTGACTTAACAAGACCTTGTCTTAAAAAATAAAAATAAAGCCTGAGCATATATGTAAACCAAAGGTTCTGGTAATCCCCAGCACAAAAGAGTCATGCTTATGTGGTTTTACCATTGAGTACTACCAAACAATTTTTCTTTATGGAAGAATAATTGACAAATCAAAATTGTTTATTTATGAACGGTGTGATGTTTTGATATATGTTTATATCATGCTAATTATGGTTAAATTTTATAGCTATCTTCATAGCTATCTTTTTTTGAGGAATGACATTTAATATTTATGTTAGCAGTGTTCAAGCGCAGTATGCAGTACACAGTATGTTTTAATTAAATGAACTCATCCTGCTGTACATGAGGTCTCCAGAACTGATCTGTCCCAACTGGGACTTTGTACCCTTTCATCTCCATCCCCCTTTTCCTCCCCTGGGTTCTAACAGATCTCTAAGGAACAGATACTATAATTTTTATATGAGGTTTAGAACTTTTTCTCCTTGATCTTCTGTAAATTCTTGAGTCACCTGCTCTTTAATGAAATTGATTTATATTTTACTACGTAAGTCCCTGTACCATTGCTCTTCTTTCTCTGCTTATTTAATCAGTTGTTCTCTTTTTCAGATAAGCTCTAGAATCACTTAAATTCCTAAAACTACTTCAAAGAAGGGTTGAAATTCCATTAAAATTAAGAGTTTACTTTAGGGAATTGGCACCACATTTACAGATGGAATGTTTTGGATTTAAAAGGTGCTTGTCATATCACTTAACACTGTCACAGCACATTTAATTGTCATAGGATTGATCACCTCTGTCCCTTAAGTATATCATAAGATAGTCTAGAGATTTGACTGAATTGCTTGATTTTATGGAAAGGATTTTTTAAGGTGGCACTTTGTTAGGGTGAGTAAACATCCCCTTTTGACTGGGTCTGAGAGATATGGGAGAATTCATACTTTTATGACAAAACCTGAAGACCTCTATGTCCTGTTGTATCATATCAGCAGGCATAGAAGGGCTCTCTCCCCATTTTTATTTTGTTTTATTTTTTGATAGGAAAATAGAGATCAAATTTTATTTTTTGAAGATGCTTTATAATTAAAAATATCGTGTGTGTGTGTGTGTGTGTGTGTGTGTGTGTGTGTGTGTATAGATAGGCAGATATTTTGGTGTTAGTGGTGGTGGTACTGGGATTGAACCCAGGGCCTTCACCCTGAGTGCATATGCAGCCTTTTTTGTTTTTTTAGTTTTATTTAAAAATTTTTTTTTATTACTACATGTTTGTCGTATGTAATTATCATATTCATCATAGGCAGTTTGCATGTGTACATAATATATCTGGATTCTTTTTTTCCCATTCTCCCCTCTTCCCCTCAGCTCTTCTTCCTCTCCCTTTTTACAAAAGCTCTGTATCCATTTTTTCCTTCCATTCTTTTTTTTTTTTCTTTTGTACCTGGGGATCAAACTCAAAACCTTGCACTTGCCAGGCAGGCACTTATGCCACTGAGCTAAATCCTAGCCCTTCATTCTTTTTTTTAGTCCTTTTTCCCTTCTCTTCCCCCTCCACCATCCCTTGTTTTCCCTCCCATTTGAACAGGTTCTTCCTCCTTCCTAATCTGTCCTCCGATTATGCTTTGTGTTTCTCACACAAGCTGCCATCCTCTGTGCTGAGTTTGCCTGAAGAGGAATTTGGAGAGGGCAGCCTGCTGCCTCAGTGTGAAGTTGCCTGAACACACTCTTGCCTTGCCTGGGACAGACTAGTTCACTGTAGCTGTCCCTCAGGACCCTTGTCTAGATCAGAAATGACACAGCTCTCTGAGGAGGCTGATTTAGTTGGAAGTAGAGCCTGACCTAAGGATCAGGCTCAGGTGAGTTATTGAGGGGGTGCTTTTCAGAGAACCCTGGATGTAGGGAAGGAAGGTGGGCCAGGATGGTAAAACCTGGCCTTGGCTTGATTCATGGGGGAATGTGGGATAAAACTGTACTCTGGAATTGCTGGAGCCTAAGGCAAGGGCTAGCCTTTTGCGTGTCCTTGGAAGTCCCCAGTGGACTCTAGACCTTACTGAGGAGAGCGAGTTGCCTTAAGGCCTAAGGTCCAAGAGGGGTGACTGTAAATTGTTAGCTGTGAGGCCACAGCAGCTGTGGCTATCTGGGGGGACATTAGTGCTCTGCATTAGCCATCAGCCTTTTGTCCTAAGATTTTAGCAGCCATGGATGATCAGAAGATACCGTTTACATCAGGGAGATGCAAAATCCAGATCACCTTGAGGTATCTTCTTAGCCTGGTTAGAATGGCTGTTGTCCAAAAACAGCAAATAACAAATGCCTGGGAAGGTACAAGAAAGAGGAACGCCCCTCCACCATCCCTTGGTTGGTAGGAGTGCAAATTAGTATAACCGTTATAGAAAACAGTGTGGCAGTTCCTCAAAACACAGAACTACATATGGCCAAGCAATCACAGCGCTTCTCTCCCTTTTTCCTTCCCTTCCTTTTCCTTCCCTTCCTTTCTCTTCCCTTTCTCTCTCTCTGTCTCTCTGTCTTGCTCTGTCTGTCTGTCTGTCTCTCTCCCACCTTCTCTCCCCTCTTTCTTTCATTGGTTTGTTGGGACAGGGCCTTCTTATTATAGTTCAGGTGGGCCTTGAACTCATGCCAGTCCTCCTGCCTCAGCCTCCTGAGTGCTGGGATTACAGATGTGCACCTCACACACTGCTCTTATCACCAGCTGTGAAAATCCTCTGGACTGAGTGTCTTTAGCAGGTATGATTTTTTTAAAAAGCACAGTGAATGTTGCTGCCTAGGGCCACTCAGTGGAAAGCAGGCTCATAAAAACATCACAGTATGTCCTCATCTACCCTGTTTGCCAGATCCACCAACCTGTGACTTCTGGCTCTTTTCCAAAGTCAAATGGCCATAAAAATTAAATGTTTTGAATTGATTCAGTGCACTGAGGTAGCCAGGAGATCACAACTAAAGCCATGCACAGAAGAAGACTTCCAGAGAACTTCAAAAAATTTGACGAGTCAAATATAAATGTATCAAAAGCAAGGGGGAATATTTGGAAGGGGATTAATGGCAATGTGTCTTTTACTGTAATATTTTTTTAAGATGGAGTATTGCTATGTAGCCAAGGATGGACCTGAACACATTCTTATCCTCCTGCCTCAATCTCCCAAGTACTGGGATCACAAGTGTGCACCACCACACCCTGCTTAATTTTAAAAATTTAAACATACCATTTTTAAAAAATCATATCTTGGGGGAGTGGAGAAGATGGCAGATAGATAACAGCAGCTATGGAGGCTCTCTGAGATAGCTAGCTCAGATTCCAGGAATGGTGCAGCATGGGGAGTCCTAGCAGAGGGAGATATACTTTGCTGACCCAGGAACAAACTAAGCTGAGAGAAAACAATCGGAAATGCAGTCCCAGTGCTACAATTGGAGCAGCTAAAGTCTCGGTGCCACTGCTGGAACCCGAGGATTGAATACCCTGCTGCTGCTGCGTCTGAATTGCCACAGCAGGGACAGACACGCGAATGCTCTGAGAGCGAGAATTGGTGAACTAAATTGAGAACAGAGCTGGTGCAGAATCCTGCATCGACCTGCGGTGAGTGAGAGGAATGGGGACCCTTCCATAGACTGGGAGGCTCCAACAGGCGACATTCGGGGACTGGGCAGACTAGCCGGAACAGGACGCTGCAGTGACTTCAGTCACATATTCTCCTCTCAAGCAGGATTGGTGGGGAGTGCTTGACCTGGGTGATGCCAATGGGCTAGCCCAAACTAGGTCCCTGTGTCTGGCAGTGCACCCTAATGCAGTGAAGCCTTCAGGAGGTTGACTGACTTGGAGGGGCGGGCCCATCGTAGACTGCCTTGGTCTGTGTCTCCCTAGTACACTGCAGTGGGCAGGGAAAAGGAGGCAACAAGAAAGGGTCCTCGGTCCCCAATCCTGAGAACACTGATCTAGTCAAGGTGAATGCAAAGGAGCATGAGGACAAAAAACATGCAGTATCAGGCCTGGTACCAGTAGACATAAAGCGATATCTTTGGGACCTCTTGACGAGTTCAAAAGTGAAGTATTTAACCAAGTAAAGCAAGATATAAGTAGAATAGTTAAAGAAATGCTAAGCAACTCCCAAGAAAAAGCAGATGGTGGAATGGAAGAACAGAAAAAAAGAGGAGAAATGTTTGATGGAGAAAATAGAGAAAACATAGAATACATGAGAAAGCTGGCATAACAGCTTGAAAGAAACTAAGGATAGATTATCTGAACTGGAGGACAGATTTGTAATGTGGGAGCATGAAAGGAAAAACTTCTTAAAAATACCAAGGAAACAAGCAGTAACAATACAAAGGCTAGAAGATGACAAGAGAATCTATAACTTAAGACTGAAGAATGTTAGAGAAGAAGCAGGGGTACAAACAAAGAAACTGCAAACATATTCACAGAAATAATGAGGGAAAAATTCCCAAACATAGGAAAAGGGAAAGATGCTTAGATGTATGAGGCATACAGAACTCCAGCTACCTACAGTCAAAACAGAACTACATCCAGGCATATAATAATCAAGATTCCAGAAATCCAATATAAGAACAGAATATTAAAAGCTGTCAGAGACAAGAAACAGATCACTTACAAGGGAGCACCCATCAGAATTACAGCAGACTTCTCAGCACAAACCATCAAATCTCAAAGAGCATGGGGTGAAATCACCCAAGCCTTGAAAGACAATAACCTCCAGACAAGATTGATATATCCTGCACAACTGCCCCTAGAAATTAATGGAGAAACAAGGTGCTTCCAAGATAAAGAGGAACTGGGGGAATTTGCAACCACCAATCCAACTCTACAGAGAATACTGCAGGACATTCTAAAGAGAGAGAAAAATACCAGGATTCCAGAAACAATGGCAGAGAGATTTCCAGAAACAATGAATGGAACAGAAAGTGAAGGGAAAAAGACAAATAGACAACCAATGACAGAAACAGAGCGCAACAGAAACAAGGCAAAGAAGGTTGGATATAACTTCTAATATAGATGGCCTAAATACACTAACTTAAGGGAAAAAGAGAATCGCAGGCAGAGTGGATCAAGAGGTAGGGTCCACCGAGAGCTCTTTATAGGAAATATAATTAGCCTGAAGAAGGTTATATAGACCAAAATCAAATATGAGAAAATGGAACTTGAAATGATAGGGAACCAGAGAGTAATAGGGGTAACTGGGCCAGTATTTATGGATAGGTTGAACAGACAGGCTTTAATAAATGAAGAAATATAACTAGAAATCCAGCCCAGGAGTGAGAAAGTACAGGAATACTTAAGTAAATAGCAGGTTGCCCCCCAATATAAAACCGTGAGTGATGGGGTGACCTGAAAATACATAGTTCATCCTGGGGGAGTAAAGGAGAGGAATAGCCTTAAAAAAAAAAAAAAAACAGCAGAAGATATAGCTAATAGTGTATCAGGAATTAAAACCCTTATCACTCGCACCACTCTGCTTAGTTGGAACTTATTCCATCCTAGTTTGTATACAAACACTGGATCTGAGGGCACAGACAGCTGTCCCGAAGATATCAGGATATACATAGCACAGTGGTCATCTTTAATTTCCTATTAACTCAATTACGATCCCTGTATGACTTATACTGCTGTATCATGACTGATCTTAGTTAAATTTGATTTGTTTGAATATTGCTTATTATTGACAGATTTTATTCAAAACTGTTAGGTTGCTGGTATCAAGTTGAGGAGTATAGAAACTATACTGAAAATGACAAGTGATTCACCACGATATCCATTCTGATTTGATTACTACCTGTTTTTGTAGCTCTACACTATCTACAAAGTTGTATTTCTGTTAATTCTGTTTGGTACTGATATGTTCAATTATGCTTGGTATCTGATGATATAGCCAATTCGGTTGATGATAACAAGGAACAGCACAGTAACTATGGTAGAACTCCTTATACAGCAGTTTTATGTCTTTTTAGTTTTATGTGTCTATAGGAATGTGTTTAGTTCTGTCCTGCTTTGTTCTGTTTCTTCCTCTTATTATAGAAAGGATAGAAATACATGTTAAGACTCACGCTTGCATAAAACCTATAAACAGTTTATGAGAACTGATCTTATAACACATGATGAACAAATACTTTGAAGGAAAAAAGGGGGCACTGCAGTATCCAGTGCTGATTCTGTAGTGTTATTATGTGAAATTCAGCAATATTATTAATCTTTGTTCAGAAGGATTTTAATCTAATAAGTTTCGTTAGCTCTCAACATAAATGAAAATATGGATAAATGTGTACATGTCTAAGTGTATAGGATTGATACTCATATTACTTAGTTTTTGTTGGATAGTTGAACAGAATGGTTTGCGGTCTCTCTGGATGAATTCTCATTTAAATGTTCCACTTTTGTATCTTGAACAATTATTTGTGGGGGGACAAATATGTATACAGCAACTAGTGATTTATTACTGTTTATTTCTTTTCTTTGAAAGTATGTACTATTTCTGCCTGTTTTCTATTGTTTTATCTTTCTTTAATTAAAAAAAATCATATCTTAATATGTCTGAGTTGGCAGATGGGCTAGAAACCTCGATCTGCTGTTTATTCACAGTGTAAAAGCTGTATCCTGTAAGTATGTACCAATTAAAGTGTTGACAAAAAGGGTGCCTTTGAACGCCTGCTTCAGCTGTGGTTTACTGGAAGAACAGATAATGATGAACACTAGTATTTCAAGTGCTGCCTGCTTTCCTGCAGGTCTGTCTGCTGTACAACAAAGGTGGTGACTCCCTCTACGGGTACTGCAACCTCAAGGACAAATGCACCAAATACCATGTCTGCAGAGCCTTCGTCAGGGGGGAGTGCAGATCCCAGACCTGCACGCGGTCCCACGAGCTCGTTCATGCCTCCACCCTGCACCTGCTGCAGGACCAAGGACTGAGCATCGCGAGTGTTGAGAATTTTCAGATCATTGCGGCCTACAAGCATACAAAGCTGCACGAGAGGCTCAAACACACAGGTAGGCGTGGCAGAGGTAGCCGGGGTGGTCACAGTGAGGTGGGTTTGGGGTGCTGTTCCTTAAAAAAAATCAAGACATCCCTTGAAAGTGAGTCTGAGGACAAAGGACTTCCTATGTTAGCCGTAGCTTTGTCGCTGGAAATTGTGGGGCAGACAGCATTTTATCACATAGAATAGTGGTTCTGAGCAAGGGAGGGAAGTCGCTGCCAGTTTACAGCCTCTGCCTAAATGTTTGAACAGCATGGCTCCTGGAGGTCAGGGAGTAGATGGGACGGTCCAACAGCTGGGGAGAGCAAAGGAGGTAGGTGACAACTGGAAATGTAAGGATAAGAGAATGTGGCTTTCTTTCATTAAAGTATTTGTGTTTTTTGTGCGGAGAGGAATAGGGAAAGCAAGGCTTTTACAGCAGGCAACATCCCAGCCCTTTTTAATTTTGAATTTTGTTAAGCTGCTCAAAATAGAACAGAGCGGGCTGGGGATTTAGCTCAGCGGCATAAGCGCCTGCCTTGCAAGCAGGCAGTCGTGAGTTTGATCCCTGGTACCGATAAAAAGGAAAAAGACAAAAAAAAAAAAAAAAAAAAAATAGAACAGAGCATGCAATCCTCCTGCCTCAGCTTCCCAGAGTGCTAGGATTACAGGTGTGCACTGTGAGACTCAGCACTTTTTTCACTTTTAAGTAATTTCAGCCACATTATTGAAAAATGTGTAAAATAAACTAGAAATAAAAATTGAATGATTCTCCTTACTAGACCCACAGTTATTTTACTGTGGATACTTTAGTCCTGTTCCTATGCAAATACTAATCTAATTATGTTTCAAATAACATTAGTTTTCTATCTTACATTTTTGCTTTGTACAGCATCATCTTGCCATATGTGTGCATGTGTGTGTGCTGGGGACTTAACTCAGGGCTTTAAGCATGTAAGATACATGTTGCTTTATGGGGTTTACTCTCATCCTCTGACATTTTATTAAAACTTACAAAGTGTGATTTGGTGTTCTTTTAATTACCTATTTTATTAAACTTTCTTATAGTTGAACATACATAAGTGGTGGGTTTAGGAAAATTGCTGGCAAGAAAACTAAACAATGGGGGCTGGGGATTTAACTCAGTGGCATAAGCGCCTGCCTTGTAAGCAGGCAGTCATGAGTTCGATCCCCGGTACTGATAAAAAAAAAAAAAAAAGAAAGAAAACAACATTCAGCTGGGTGTGGTGGCACATGCCTGTAGTCCTAGCACTTGGGAGGCTGAGGCAGGAGGATCACAGTTAGTTTGAGTCTGGGCTAAACTACATACCAGTAGCAAGACCCTGTCTCAAAGAAACAGGCAACAATGACAAACAAAATCAAATTACCAGTCAGAGGCTCTGAGCTTTTAATGTAGAGGTTGTGTGTGTATGTGCTGGGATGTTAGTGGTAGACTTTACAGAAGCTGAGGAGGGTTCTGTGTAGACCAGCGCAGCAGCTGTCCAGGGATCCATCAGTGGGGGCAGGGACCCTAATTCTGTGTCCAGGAGCCGCCACTGTCATCATGCAGTCTCCTTCTGTGAATCTCTCCCAAGTATGAAATCGTACCTCTCTGCTTGTTAACGTGACATTTTAAGTATATCAATCATAATCAATATATCAATTATATATTTTAATATAGAAGGCACAGACTTTCTAAGCCCAGAGTTTTGGGAGTCTTGCACAAGTAAAATGAAGCATGGGGTGAGAAAAGGCAGTTTTTGGAAAGCTGATCCCTTTCTTCATCTTAGATGACGTGGTGGTGGCCCCTGAGCATCCGCAGAGCCCTGAGAAACGAGGAGCCCACGCAGTGGGGGCTAAGGACGTCCGGCCCCCTGTCCCTGTTGCTGCTCAGGCAGCCGTGAGGCCGTGCCCAGCTGACCCCTACAGGGCATCAAAGCAGTGGAAAGCAGCTTGTCCATCCTGGAAGATCTGAGAACTAGGCGACCATGCATTCCTGTCACTCGCTGTTGCTGTGCTGACTCCGGCCTCTGCACTTAGATATGGAAGGGACAACGTGCACCAAGAGGCGAGGATTGCCAGTGGGTGTTTGGGGGTGAGCTTGGATGCAGAGCCAACCAAAAGAGGGGAAAATTTGAATGCACAGCCGCAGGGCGCCTTCCCCAGCCTGCTGGGGCCGATTCCTGCAGATCTTGGGATCCCCTCCCACCTCGCCTTCCACAGTCACGGTTTACACTGTGATAACTGTGGGATATGTACACTTCGCACACAGGTTTTTACCTTGCTGTTTCAGAAGCACCCTTCCATGTTCGTTCACATCTATACATAATCTTGTTTTTTGCACACATCCATTAATATGTCAAACTACCTCCCCTCATTCTGGCATATTTCAGTTCTAATGAATTTTAAATGTAACTCTTTGTAAAATCTTTACAGTATTGAACTTACAAATCCGTTCTTTACTTTTGCTGAGCTTAGGGGTGCTAAATAACACTATCGTCTTAGTAATATTCCTAACACCTGTATCCTGTGTGTTTGCAGGGATGCATTTTCTACATGGCCTTTTATTGTTGAGCCTCCCTCCTTTTATTGTTGTGCCTTTTATATTCTCAGGAAGGCATCAACCATACAGTGCCTGTGAAAGCCAAGTTTTGGGGGGTTCATCCTCAGCCAGCACCACGCAGCTAAATAGTCTTGGGGCTGTCAGCAGAGATTTCTGTTTCACCTGCCTTTTTCACCTTTTATTGAGCTTTTGCCAAAGCCCACCTGCTATAGTTTGAAGGATGCACAGGTCATCCATTCCCCCAGATTGTATGTTTTCTTTTCTTTTTTTTAATCAGTACCGGCGATCGAACTCACAACCATGCACTTGCAAGGCAGGCACTCATGCTGCTGAGCTAAATCCCCAGCCCTGTATGTTTTTTTTTTTGAGGACAGGGGTGGACCCTCAGAAATCTGTTTACTTCACCAGGCCGTGCAGAGACATGCTGAGCTCTGTGTGTGCCATGGGTACCATGGAGTACGGCTGAGGCAGCACTGCTGTGCTTGGTGTAATCATGCCTCAGATGTCACTGGGTAACATGCTTTTTTAGAAAAAAAATTAATGTCCTGTAATGTTGTGAAATTTAAGAAATAGGGACAATATAGTGAGTTTTTGTACAGCTGGGTTTTTGTAATTTAGGGAAATTTCATCATGAAGCGTTCTTCTCTGTTGGGAGAAAAAATGCAAAACTGTCCTTTTCAAAGGGAGAGAGTCTGTGTTTTCCCCTAGTGGACAGTAACAGCTGTGCACCTGACAGTGATCTTTGGTTGTCAGCAACAGTATTTCTGAAAGCCTTGATGGTCTGCACATTTTGTTTCTCCTCCTCCACCTCTTTTATTTTCTAGTTCTGATTTTGTTCTGGTATTATTTTTTTCAGCACTAGAGATCAAATGCCTTACCACTGGGCTATACTATTCCCCCCATCCTGGTGCTAACTTTTTTGAACAGTTTTTTAAAAAATATTATTTTTATGATTTATATTTTATGATTGTACTGTGTATATTTTTGTTGTAAGCCATCTTAAACCTTTCATGGAAACTCCATGGGGCACAGACCTATGTCTGTTACATTGAGGGACTTGGTTTATGAATTTTATGTCATTGTGTTCTTTTTATGTATCTTACACTTATATTCTTATGTATGAAGTTATTGGCTCTCCGTAATCTTTGTTGCAATATTTTATTCAATTCTATAATATTCCATTTTCTGATTTTAAAATACTCACTTTTAATTGAGCTGTGTCTCTCTGGCTGCTTCAATATCTGGCTAAATTATAATCTTTAAAATATTGGCTGTGCTTTCCAGACCCCAGCAAGGCCGCTGGTACAGCCTGTGTAGTGCTAGATACCTGATACTGCAGTGCTTTCTGCTTTTATGTCCTGGCTTGGAGCGAAGACATTACTGTTCTTCTTGGTAATTCTAATGCTGGGAAGTAAGACTTGTTTCCCACATAGTGAGTTAAACTCTATATTTGAATCTGTTTGAATAAGTATCACATTGTTTGTTTGGTATTCTACCTCCACTTTTTTTAATAGTCAAAAATCCTTTTTCTCCTAGTGAGTGTATAAGGAAAAAGTCTTTTTCATTGCTTCAGTTTGATCCTCTTGGTCTAAAACTGACCCTTTAAGACTCATAACTAATTATTTCCACCATGGATTGAGTCTCTTCATTATTGATTTTTTTCATTTTCCTTTGTTATTATTTTGTCTAGGTTTTATAAATCTCGTATTATGTTAATTCCTTCTTGTATGTTATATGTCAGTATTACTGCTCAGTTTGGGGATCTGTCTTTAGTTAATCAACTGTTTATTTTTTGGTGAATAGTTGTTAATGGTCTATTTGTTTTTTTCTAAATACAAAAATCATAGCTGAAAAATGAGTTTTCTTATGTATGTTTATTGTTTTGTGTTAAATACAAAATGTGATAAAATTTTTTGTATTTCTTCATTAAGTATGAAGTTAGTGGTTTTAGATGAATGTTCTTTTTAAAATAAGAGAAATAGTATCTATTCTTATTTGTTGGAAGCTAAAAGCTTGATAAAACGAATTGGTATCTTTTGATAAAATCATATTTTTATCATTTAATTGCTTATATTAAAGGCTTTCATGATATTTCAAGCTTTTTTTTTTGGTACCAGGGATTGAACTCACAACCTCATGTTTGCCAGGCAGGTTCTTGTGCCACTGAGTTAAATCCCTGGCCTACGCTTTTATAATATTGAAACGTCTTTCAATTCATGAAATAAACTCTACCTGACTATATGTTCTTTTAATGTATATTTTTTTTCTGCTTGGTATACATCTATACAAGCATTAATAAAATGTATTATATTTTATGTATGTAGTAATTTGATATATGGTCAAATAAAAATTTTGTTCTAGGTATTGTTTGAAATTTCTGTTAATTGACTTATAATGTTATTTTAAGAAGTGTGTCATTATGTTGTAAATTTCTTTCTCTGTTATGTTTAAAATCAACATGGGTAGGTGCTGTCACAGCAATTGGCCTGCTTTTCCTTATTGATCATTTCTCTGTGTTCACATTGCCTCTTAGCCTCACCAGGAGTTGGGCCTTAATGCCTGTGTCTTGCTGGAATTGTCTCACTTGGCTTCTTTTTTCATTGTTATTATTTTTTGCTACCGGGAATCAAACTCAGGACCTAGCACTTGCTGGGGAGGCGCTGGCTGCTGAGCTATATCCACAGATCCCTCGCTGGGCTTCTTTTAGTCCCTATGTCTCCTGCCCAAGTCTGTGCCCCACACACTCAGCTAGAGCCAGCCCCTTCCTAGCAGGGGCCACTGCAGGGAGTCAGGTGCTTTGCCACGAGGTTGGATTCCTGGTTCCCACCTCGGTAACCAGCAGCTGAGATGGCTCCTGCTTTGGAAACAAGATTCAGAGAAGGGAGGCTCCTTCTGCAGGTGTCTGAGTGACGGACTGTACTCTAGCAGCTCTGACAGCACAACTGACCTCAGCCTGCTCTCCATCAGGTAAGATTAAAGAGCATTCAGCCTGTCCGAGCTGGAGACCAGGTCAGTCAGCTCTCACACAATGGTGGAGAGATGGCTCACAATACAACAGTATGTGACACCCAAGTCTTATAACTGGTAACAGTAAAGAGACTTATCTCACTGCTTGTGGTGGTCAGTTTGGGCTCTGATGCCTGTCATCTTCTCCTTCTGATCTGGGTTGACAGGTCCTATTTGGACCTATGCTGGTGTCCACATTGCATTCATCAAAGTAGATTTTGTGGTCACCCTGTGTTTGACAGTGGGCACGTTTAATCCCTGTCAAGCGCCACTGTAGGTCACGTGCCAAGCTTAAGGAGAGGGAGAAGGTGCCCATGGAAAGGGGCTGTATTATTGATTTATTTATTTTAAAGAGAAAAAACCAAAAATTTCAAAACATGATTATAGTAACAATGGTATATACATTGCGTATGGTTATCTTCAAATCTGGTACTCAGAGTTCATCTGCATTTAATTGTCTGAACAATACTAGCACAAACATTTCTCTTCAATGAGCTCAGAGAAATCAGTAGTACAACTATCATATATTCACCTCACACTAGTGAGACAATACAATGTTTACACATGTATGTCTGATTTATTTCACTTATGAGTAAGGTCTCAAGTTGCATCCATTTACATATAAAAATGTCTAATTTATCCTCCTTTATGGTTGAGTAGTACTTCATTGTATAAAAATAGCACATCTTTCCTATCCATTTCTCAGTTGATGGGCATTTAGGTTGTTTCCAAGATCTGGCTATTACAAATTGTGCTGCTATATGTACATGGGTGCACATATATCACCGTGGTATAATGCTTTTAATTCTTCTGGGAAAATACCCAGAAGGGTACTAGCTGGGTCAAATGGGACCTCCAATCCTGGGGGTTTTTTTGGTACAGGAATCGAACTCACGACCCTGCGCTTAGCAGGCAATCCTAGTGTTTTGAGGAATTTCTACACTGATTTCCACAGTGGTTGTACCAGTCTGCATTCCCACCAACAGGAGAGAAATGTTCCTTTTCTCCCACAGTCCCTCCAGCTTTTGTTGTTGATTGATTTCTTGGTAATAGCTATTCTTTTTGGAGTGAAAGGGAATCTCAGTGTTGTTTTAATTTGAATCTCTCAAATGATCTCAAGTGATGTTGAACCTTTTTTCATATATTTACTTGCTGTTTGTATTTCTTATCTGAGAAGTGTTTGTTTATCTCAGCTGCCCATTTTTGGATTGAGTTTTTAAATTTGGAAGGACCTTTTTTTTGAGTTCTTTATTATGTTCTTGGTAGAAGTGTATTAACAAGTTCCTCAACTCCAGATGAATGTAGATTGAAGATTTTTCCAAATTCACGAATTCAACCCAAAATCTGGTAGAGCCATGAGAACCCTTTGGCTTCCTGTGGTTGCTGGGGCAGACTCAAGTACTAAGACTAAGGAAAGCCAACTTCCACGGCTCAACAGGAGTATGGTACTTGCACCATACGCAGGTAGAGGGCAGTATGGTTTCACACGTGGGCATGGGCCTTGGGTCTGAGTTTCACTTCTGGCTCTGCCTCAGTTTATCGCGTAATTTTGGATGTATCGAGAACTCTCCACGAACTGTTTTGCCATCTATGAAACTGCACTAAATCTGTTCCCAGAAAATGAAATTCATTTGATGATCGCATAGAGTCCAAATAGTCTGAACAGGAAGTGCCATGTGTTGTATTTGCAACACATAACTTACATAATTAACGGTTTGGAGGAAGGAAGTTAAGTGATCGTCCGAGAAAACTGGGGCAGAGAGCAATGTCTGCTGTCTGGATAAACCAGACTGAGAGCTAGCAAGAGGGGCAGGATGGGGAGGGTGTGCTGGGGTAGAAGAAATGTGAAATGCTGAGCCAATCCTGAGGATCAGTGAGAAAAACATGCAAAAGGGGAGGGAGACGCAGGTCCAGCCAGCCAGACACCTGAATATACCCCCATAATAAAGATACGATCTTTATGAAAACGTGCTTACACTGATGGGAAGCTTGTGAATATGGAATGTCGCACAGAGTGGAAATTCTTTTTATATTTAGAAAGCCCACGAGGAGTAAATGAAGTCAATACAGGAGCAGGAATGTTTGAGTCACTTGTGGTGATGATGATCCTATGACTCGCTATTGGAGCCGGGATGGGGCCGGAGCTCGGCCGAGGAGCTGGGTGAGGGACCCCAAAGCCTGGCCCGGGAGACTGGACGGGCACCGAGCATGGCCCCTCGCGGTCCCAGCATCGCCCCAGTCTGGAGCAACAGCCTCGATGGAAAATGAGAATACAGTGTATTTGTTAAGAGCTTGTGAGGCTACTTGATTTTTCTTTTTCTTTTTTTTTTTTTTTTTTTTGTCTTTTTTTTTTTTATCGGTACCGGGGATCGAACTTACGACCACACACTTGCAAGGCAGGCGCTTATGCCGCTGAACTAAATCCCCAGCCTCCGCTTGATTTTTCAAAAATTACTTGCATTTGTGGCTTCGATAACACAATCATTTTTTAAATGACATGGTACTGGGGAAGAAAACAATAAAATCACAGGTATGCTGGTCATCACTGCCTACCGAGCTCAATGAATTCATAAGCAAGATCCAGAGCTTATCTCAGTCCAGCCATGCTGAGAGCTGTTTTCTAGTGGAAGTTCTCAGCTTTTCAAGAGAGTGGCATAAGAAGCCAGTTCTCATCTGTTACAATATTTAAGAAACTAAGGCTTTTTTTTTTAAGAGAAAAGAACTAAAAACATTTTCCTTAAAACCTTTGTGTCACCAAATGAAGCTGACTGCTAAATTTTGCTTCGCAGTGCATAGTTCATCTAATTTAAAAAGTACTTTTATTAAGGATACTGCCAGTCAGCTGTGAAATTTTGCTTTAGTTTTTTTTTTTCTTCATTTTTTCCCCCTTTTTCTCCTTGAAATAAAATAGATTTGGAAAAAAATGAACAAAGAAAAAAATCCTAGCACTCAGGAGGCTGAGGCAGAAGGATCACTGTGAGTTTAAGGCCAGCCTGGACTACATTAGAGTCCCTGTCTCAGAAAACCAAATTAAATGAACAAGAAAGATACTGATATGATTATTATGTCACTGAGAAGATCAATACATTAGCGGTTTTACTTTTGTTATCTTTCAATGTCAAGGCAATTTATGAATTAAGCATTTGTTATGTAGTTAATGTCCTAAATATAAATTTACATTTTCTCAACTTGTCTCTAAGACAGTATGATAACCTGAGAATGCAAGCTTTCTTTGGTGGTGTATGTTGGAAATGACAAAATACCAACAAAATCATCCAAATTCAAACATCAGCCTCAAAAATCAGACAAGGCTGGGCCATGTGACTCAGGGCTACAGTGATTACTGAGACTCTACACCCCACCCTGGCACAAAAAGAATCTGGAGAAAAATCATTTGAACACTAACACAGAAAGGGGGAGAAAGCTTACAATTAATTGAAAAAGTTATAGCACAGAAGAGAGCAGGAGCAGTCAACTGTAGAAAAACAAGTTCTGGGGCCAGGAGTTTAGCTCAGCACGCAAACACCTGCTTGGCAAGCATGAGGTCATGGGTTCAATCCCTGGTACCAAAAACCATCAACCATAGGAGTTGGGGATTTAGCTCAGCGGCATAAGAACCTGCCTTGCAAGCAGGCGGTCATGAGTTCCATCCCTGGTATCGATTTAAAAAAAAAAAAAAATCCACCAACCAACCAAACAAATAAAAACCCCCAAAATGAGTTCAAGGCCAACCTGGACTGCATAATGAAAATTGCCTCAAAAAAGAATAAATAAATAAGATAAAAACATCAGACTCAGTTGGTCATAACTTTCTAAAAAAAAAAAAAAAAAAAGTTCCAAGCAGACTGTTTGCAGTCTCATGAAAGTACTGAAAAAGCAGATTATGATGAAAGCTACTTCAATGATTTTGGGGTTTAATACCTAATTGTTTTGTGTCTAAAACAATATAATTAAATCTACAGTGTAGTCAATCAGCAATACATGGTATTAACTGAAAAATCAAAGTATAGAAGGATTAAGTAAGAGGGTTATAATGTTACCAGCAAAATTATTGACCCCGGCAACAGACTATAGAAATCCAACTGTATATTAAGGAATTTCTGAGGAAGTAATAGACTGGCAGTGTAGTCAGGGTTGTAACACAGGCAGACCCATTTCTTAAAATTGGAAACAAAAGGTAATTTCAGCCTGAAATTCAAAAATATACCCAGGAGCTGGTTATGGTGGTGCTTACCTGTGATCCAAGCACTCAGGAGGAGGTTGAGACAGGATTACTCTAAATTCTAGGACACCCTGGGCTACAGTGTGAGTTCAAGGCCATCCTGAAATACATAGCAAGAATCTTGTTCAACATTCTTCCCCCCCCAAATTAATTTATTTTTAAAAAAATAAATGGTGCTAACAAGATTATCATAAATACAAGTAGACTCTAAAAAGTTATCTTTATCATCTATCTATCTCCAGGTTCTATCAAATAGTATCATAAGAAACCTGAATATATATATATATATATATATATATATATATATATATACACACACATATATATATTACATACCATCTGAATATATATCACATGTACTCCCAGGGGTAGGGGATTCAGCCTAAGGCCTTGTGCATATTAAATACATGCTCTACCATTGAGCTATATCCATAGGCTCCTCCCTGCCCTTTTTTAAAATTTTGAAACAGCATCTCACTGTGTAGTTCAGGCTGGCCTTAAACTTACTATGTAGCCCAAACTATCCTGGAACTTGCAGAATCTTCCTGCGTCAGCCTCCCAAGTGCTTGGATTACAAACTTGTGCTTATGTCTGGCTCAAATAGAATTATTTTGTATCTTGAGTCCAAATAATCCAGAGAAACAGAAATCATTGCATTTATAATTATAATAGTAGCTTTCACTTTCTGCAGTCTTACTATTAGGTAAATACTATGGGACACCCCTAGTCTCCCATCTCACGTAATTATTAAAACAGACTTGAGCCACATCAATGTTGCCCTTAGACCCGAGGAGCAGGAGACGCCTTGGGCCCCTGCTTTGCAGAGCTGTTTCTTCTGGTAAGTGACACCGTCAGGCTACAGAGAGCTGCTTCTCTCCATTGCTCCTGTGTCCTCAGAACCAAAGGTGACTGCATCTGACTGCTCTGCAAGCCCGTGGGTTGGATGAACATGATTTGGGGCTTTGCAGAGGATGTCTGTGGTAGAAACATATAATTTAGCAAAAGCAAACTAAACTCATCAAGTCCTGCCTTTCAGATAGCATTGCAAAATGAAGTAATTTCTCCCAGTTGTTTCCAGTGTCATTTTTCTCTCCTTCCCTGGTGTCTAATCAGTAGTTCTGGATGGACTCACAAATTGTGTAGCATTTGCTTCAAGCACACAGGGCAGCTGCAGAACCTTCAGTTCTATGAAACTATTTATATGGTTCTTCTATACTTGCACAGTACTTTTCCATGTTACATGCAAGAAGCAGGGTCTCAGTTTCTTCCATGAGTAATACATGCATACTAAATGTGCAGTTGAATAGAGGTTTATTTTTTTAATATTCTTAAGATATAATCACCTTTTCAAAAAGTAAATCAAGACTTGAACGTCAGCCCAGGCTCTGTCACAAGGGAAGTCACAAGGAGGGAAGATAAAAAATAATCTACAAAATCATAATTTGGGGCCCATAAAAGAAATGTGGTCACAAGACAATGAAGATGGTTGAAACCCAGAAGGACAATAACTAGCAAGGAGCGTGTGACACAAAATCTTTGACCTTTGGGGTTATGAAGGAAACAGACCCCTTCCCCACTAATAGGTCAACAAAAATCGAAAACGAAATCAGCAAAATTCATAATGAATTATTTATGATAGATAATAGCAGACAAAAGCACTGAGAAATTTATGCAAGAACTATCAAGCAGATTGCTGTGATTGATAGGTCATCTCCCCAGTACTGACACACTTTCAGAGATAGGATGGTCTCCATATTACAGAAAGGTTTCTAAACCCCCCTCAAGAAAAGATGAAGAGAAAAGCTAGCTCTCAGCTGGACAGTTTTCTCGGGCAGATGCGCCCACACACCTCTGTGGGAAGGGGTGTTGAAAGACAAGTCAGCTGTGTTGCATAAGTCCTTAAAATGTTTGTGCCTTTTGATTAAATAATCCTACTTAAGGGGTTGGGGATTTAGCTCAGTGGCATAAGCGCCTGCCTTGCAAGTGTGCAGTTGTGAGTTCCATCCCTGGTACTGATAAAAAAAAATCCTACTTAAGATTAATCATGTGATAATAAGAAATGTGTCACGATGTGCATGTTTGTTTAGATCCTGAGAAGAAGTGGGTGGCACACGTGAACTGGAAAAGGGAGAATTTAATGAAGATGCAGGCAGAGGAGAGAAACCAACCATAAAGATTCGGGCAGAGGAGAGAAACCAACAAAGATGGTGGAGTACTCTGGGGTGACCAACAGTGGGGCCACTGGGTACCTGGGCAGGAAAAAATATCCAGAACAATACAATGCTTAATGTAGCAGTTCTTGCAAAAATAAGATATTAGAAACTACCCAAGTGTACAATAGGGAATTCCCTGAAGAGTTGATACCTTGGGGTGCAATGCAACTATTACAAGTTACATTGTGGAAATGTGATTTATTAAGATGAAAAGATGTTCATAATATTGGTTAAAACAAAATTTTATACATAGTTGGATTCTTTTTATCAGCATTTTGTGTACATGTGTGTATATTAATTTATGTATTTGCTGAGTAGTCTGGGATGAGCTTGTGTCTGACATTAATAATACTTCTTTTGCAGTGGTGAGATTACAGATAGTTTTAATACAATTTTTGCTTCTCTGTGTACTATACTTTTTCTACAATGTGTGATTAAAAAAATTAAAGTACTTTTTAGAAAAATTAGAAAGATGGCATGATACCCAAATTACTTCTGTGAATTAAATAGGAGCTATTCTTAACCCCAACAAGAAAGATTCCTTAAAAATTCTATTAGAAGCCAATTTTATTTATGAACATAGATACAACATTTTTAAGTAAAATTCCAGCACAGGACAATAATCACTTTATATTTAACTTGAGGCTAATTACTACACTGGATGTATAGTGTGTTACAAGTTGAGTTTTTCTACTTAGATTACCAGGCCATTTCTCTTATTTTTCATGATTTAGAATATGTTGTCTAGTATGGTAGCCACTGACCACCTCTGGATGTTTAAATTTGGATTAATTAAAATTAGATTTCTTTAAAAATTCAGTTTCCCAGCTGGACTAGCCATGCTCCCAGTACCTGAGAGTCATTTGGGGTTGGAAGCTACTTCATTCGACAGCTCAGATTTATAGAGCAAGTCCACCATCGCAGGACGTGCTTCTGAACAGTACTAATCTAGAAATTTCTTACTTTTCCCTTCAAAATGGTGGATGAGTTCCACAGAGAGTTGTTTGTAGGCAGATAATTTTATCATCCGACTTCTCATAATTGCCATTTGGGTGTATACCAGTCAATTTTGTATAAAATTCAACATTCAAGCATGTTTTATTGTTTGAGGAATGTCAGTTCCTAAAGGGCAGAGACTGTGTTCCTGCTCTATTTCTGACAGGAGCCTCAGTCCACTAAATTTAATTTCTGTTTGCTGGTGCCAACAAGAGCAGCTTACCGACTCTGTGGAAGGCCAAGTCAGTGTCCAGTCTGAAGCAGCCTCTTGTGTTTTTCAAGCAGTCTCTGGTTGGTGTTTCATAGTGCGTGGCAGAGGAATCCAGCATTCCTTGACCTCTTTGAGAAGTTACTATATAAGAACTCTTCTTCGAAAAGTTACTATATGAGAACAAAGACAGATAAGTAGACACCAGTTCTACAACCAGTACCAAAGAGCAGTAGACAGCCTTGTGCTCTTGGGCTAATTCTCTCCTTCTGGCGTCAGGTGAGAGAAGAGACGGATATGGAACTTTGTTCTTGTGCTGCTGTTTATTCATTATACAAGCACTCGTGGGACTCTAGGGCCTGCCAAGTACAGAGGCAGGAAGAGGTAAACAGGAAGGTCTTTGCCCTTGAAGATTTACAGTCCAGCGGTAAGCAGACACATGAAGATTTAATTCCATGTGTCAGTGCAGTGGCAAAGGTGTCTCAAGGCCTTGCTCAGGAGAAGGCAGCGAGCTGAGCTGCAGGGAGAGTGTGGGAAGACTTCCTGGAGAAGTGGGGGCTAGGGCTTCCGGAGCCTGGAGAGCAGAGATGTTCATCCTAGGGAGGATGGCTCCAAGGAGCTGGGTGAAAAGGGATTTCCTAGAGAATCAAGGTAGCAAGGATAGATCTGTACTGAGTCAGGCTTTGGCTACATGTATTTATGTGATTGAGCGGAACTTAGGACAGAATGGAAGAGCCAGGAACTGTACTAGATTATTCCCACTATTCCCACTCTGAGTTTGAGCCAGAGTCGCTGAGTTACAGAACACTGTCATATGTGAGTTGGAGTGAGCAGAAAGCCAGAAACTGAGAGTGATCCTAAAATAGCTCTCACCAACTGTTGCTGTAGTGCTAATGTGGATGTCTGGCTGTCCGTTGTGGGTTTGGGGCTGGCGCAGGAGACAGCCATGGGGAGTGTGGGCAGGGGACTGTGCCAGTGGCTGTGTGGCAGCTTGTGCGTTGGGGGTCCGGAGGCGAGGCAAGCTGCAAGAGGCAGAGGCCAAGCTGGAACCTATTTCTGGAGCATTCTTATTTGCTGTTGTTACTACCACGCTGTGCGAGAGTGGCAGGCATCTTCCACCCATCCTCCACGGAAGGTTGCTGGTTTTGACTGTTGTGTCTCTGGGTATGGCCACACTGATGATGAACTCACCTCTGGATTTTCTTTTGATTGAAAGTCCTCCCTAAGGACAGGGTAAACTGAGGTAGCTACTTAGGGTAGATCATGGCAGGTCCAAATCTGACCTTATCCTATATTATGCACTGTTTTGTCCCCAAATTCTTGTGAATAGCCTGTCCTCCAGTAAAGCAAGTTGTCCTGTCCTATGCCATATTCTGTCCATTTCCAACTCCTTGCCTTTGGCTTCTGTTCTTCTTTGTTTCCTTTAATGAAAGACACCATTGTGTCCAGTATTCAAGACCCAATTTAAGTCCCAAGTACTTGGCAACATCTTCCCTACCTACTGCAGCTCACACCCATCAGATTTTCACATTGATAGTATCAATCCTGCCTTTTAACCCTGGGGTGATAGTGTGAAAGGGAGAAATCACTTTGAAGACCATCAAAGTTCTCATCCTTGATTTGTTTCTTTTTTTGTCTCTTCCCTGGGTAGAAGCATTGATTTCTAAACTTTTTTTAATTGAAGAGACAAATATAACAACATTATTAAAGGAAAGAATGGCCAAAATCCCATTATCCTAACAAGATAAGTTTATTTTTATCTTTTATTTTAAAGAGAATAAAACCAAGCAAAACAAAACAATAAAGCCAATCAAAACAAACCAGTACAAGTGACGCAGGACTTCAAAACAATAGAAAATCAATAATAGTTATCGTAATGCCACCTGCTGTCTTTGAAATAGCTGCAGATACCTTCAAACATAGTAAAAATTAAACAAAATAGAACCAATAAAAACAAAACAATGAATACAATAAAGGACTTCAAAACAAGATAATAGTAAATTCAAAATGGCTGCCAAAGTATATCTTGTTGGCGCTGGGGATTTAGCTCAGCGGCATCAGGGCCTGACTTGCAAGTGTGCAGTCATGAGTTCAATCCCCAGTACCAAAAAAAAAAAAAGCAAACTATATCTTGTTATCTTTGCAAAAGCTGCCCATGCTGTCAGATGCAACAAAATCAAACCAAACAAAACCAAACCCAACAAAACAATGAAAATGATACAGCACTTCAAAACAAGACAATAGGGAATCAACAATGGCTACCACCCTCAGTTGGAGATCCTCAATAGATGCTACACTGCATATGGATCAGATCATTGGCTTTAGACCTGCAAAATCAGTAAAACACTAAACACTACAAACATTAAATTGTATTCCACCTCAATAGTCATTGCAAAAGCTGGGTGTAGTGGTGCGCTCCTATAATTCCAAGTACTCCCAGCAATTGGGAGGCTGAGGCAGGAGAATCATTTACAAGTTTGAGACCAGTCTGGGCTACAAAGTGAGTCCACGGCCAACCTGAACTCCATAGTGAGACCCTGTCTCAAAAAGACAAAAAAAAAAAAAAAAAAAAAAAAAAAAAAAAAAGCCATCATTGCAGCCTGTGTTTCTCTAGATCATCCAGTTGCTTCTGGTGGGTAGAGGGGTGGAGTGGTATATGGTGTGGGGGGTGGGTTGAGTCTTCTTGTTTCCCAGTCCTTGAGCCAGAAGAGGCTGGCACCTGGCTTTCCTCTCCAGCAGCCCGCGCCTGGCACCTATTCACAGTGAGGGCTTGCTTCTTGTTGACTTGTTCTCTTCCCCTCTGCAGTCCATGAATGGCCAAACCAAGTTTAAAATTTGCACCATTCCTTCCTGGGCAGACACCTTTTATATTAGTTCATAAGCCATATTGTGTTAGTGTTTTCCCCCCACCTAATCTTCTACCGTGCCTGTGCTTGTTCAGTTACTGTAACAAGCACATCTTTGCCTCTTGTTGTGGTGCTGTAATTTTATCAAGTCTCTCTCTCAACACTGGCCAGTGGGCTACTGACTGTGCCTTTTCTAACGAATTGCATATTGCTCTAGCTTCTGTATCTTCTGAGCTCTGAGAACTTGCTCCATTGATGATAATCTCTCTCACATTTTACTCTTTCACTCTCTGGACAACTTCCTAAATCTTGTCTATCCTAAAGTATGTCTCAAGTCTGCTACGTATCACTCTCTGTGTCCTCCACTACTTCCTAATCTGCTTGCATTCTCACCTCTTTTTGGTTTCCACCTTCACCTTCAACATACAGTGTACCTCCGTTTGCAAACTTGATTTTTTTCATGATTCTAGTCACAAACAGAATTGGATAAAAACCAAATCGCACTCAGTGGTCAGAGTCAATGTTGATTTTATGGAGAAATTTGATTTGGCTTTTATCTAGCTTGGTTTGTAACCAGAATCGTGGAGAGAATCGAGTTCGTGAACCCAGGTACTACTGTACTATGGAGGCTCCTAAAAAACAAGCAGGGAAACAACAATGACGGAAATATCAAACAGAACTATTATGTGGTGCAACCGTGGCTCTCCTGGGTGTGTATCCCAGGCAGGTTAAGTCAGGATGTCACAGAGATGTCTGTACTCTAGTGCTTATTGTAGCACTATTCCTGACTGATGACCCAGGCATTAAAGCAACGCGTGGATGGGTATTAACAGAATACCATCTGACAACGAAAAAAAGGAAGGTGTCATTTATGGCGATGTGACTGAACCTGGAGGACCTAACACTGAGTGAAATAACCCAGATACCAAGAGAAAAATCTCTTTTCAATGACAAGATTGTCAAGTCCCTAAGGTTTTCTCAGACGTATTATCCCTGACATTGACTAGTCCTTTCATTTCAAAACTTTCTTCCCAGGACTTTGACAATACCACTTTTCCATTAAACTCCATGCTTTTTGTCTGAATTGTTTTCTGTCTTTTCAACAACGCCTCTTCAGCTTTTTAGAAACAAAAGTCTTTTCTGGGGAACCTCTCCTGGGTCCTTTTTTCTTTCTTTCTCTTTCTTGAAGCACAGGGACACACTCTCATATATTTAGCAAATAACTCTGTACAGACTCTATCTGCATCTTTCACCTTCCCAATGCACTGTCCAAGGCCCAGCTCAGCTGCACATGGTTTGGGCCATTGTATTCCAGAGCTGGCTGACAGCCCAGCATATCAGTCAACATATTAGTTCTCAGTGTGTCAGCCTTTCTCCTAATCCAGCCTCTCAAAAAAGATACAGACAAAAATAATTGGTTTTCATTAAAGTTTAAAATTGTCTGCTCTGACATATACCATTAAAAAGATGAAAATATAACCTATGACTAGGGTATAATATTTGCAAAACATATATCTGATAAAAAGATTCTCTGAAGAATAAAAAAGATTACTTACAACTTGGTAATAAGAAGTCAAGTAACCAGATATTAAACATGGAAAAAGATTTGAGTTGACCCTTCAAATCTCAAGATTCCAAGCAGATAAGTCACAGGCACATAAACATATGAAAATTGACCAGCATATTAATAGTCACTGAGAAAATGCAAATAGGATCACCATGGATTGTCCTTATACAACTCCTGGGATTGGATCAGTTAAAAAGACCAACAAAACCAAGTGCTAACAAGGATGTAGAGCATCTAGGACTTCCACGCACTGCTATTAGGAGTGATGTCTTAGTTTGGAAGACAGTTTGGCAGTTTCTTACAGTGTTAAATATACTTTTACCAGACAACCTAGAAATTCTCACAGATAATTTTAGCAGCAATATTCATTATAGAAAACAAACAAACAACAACCAGGAAACAACCCACTGTCCTTTAACTGATGAAGTAGATAAACAAATTGTGGTACATCCATTCCATGGACTACTACTAAGCAATAGAAGGACAAATTGCTGGTATAGACAACAACTTGATGAATCTAAGAAACTATCCTAAGTGAAATAAACCAGACTCAAAAGACTACAGACTGTCGGACTCCATTTATATGAAATTCTGGGAAAAACAAATCTATAGAAACAGAAATCAGATCAGTGGTTGGCAGGAATTGGGAGGCTGTGGTAAAGATCGATAGATATAAGCTGTTTAGAAATCTGGCATGTAGTGATGCTTGTAAAATTTCATAGAATTATCAAACTTAGCAAATGTGGTGGATTAAAAACTGGTGGTCAATTTAAACACCAGCTGCACTGATTCAGCATGGTACTGAGTGTAGATGGACCACCTAAGGAAAGTTGCCAGCATACAAAGGAGACATGGAGAGGAAGAGTAGCCTTATGGGTTCTCCTAAGTGTTGTTGCTGTCTGGAGTTGTTTGTTCTTTTGAAGCTGTTGGTTTTGCTGGAGAACCTTGTCATGCTGGCTTCCCTAATATGTGGTATATCAGCTTTATCATCAGAGGAGCTTGGGATCTCGTTGCTGAGAATGGCTACGGTTCACTTTGGAGGAGCTCTGGTCCTTACTTTGAGCATCGCTTCCTGGCTCTGGAGGGAAAGATGTGTGCTCTTTAATCTCCAGGAGAATCTTGTCATGCTGGATTCCTGTTATGAATGCGGCTGTTATCATCGGAGGAGCTCAGGACCTCACTGTCACTGAGGATGGCTGTGGTACTTTTTGGGGAGTCCTGGTCCTTAGTTTGAGCATTGCTTCTTAGTTCCACCCTCAGCCTACTGGCACAGCTCCTTCACTCCGCTGGCACAGACTTTCTAGCTTCCACCACTGACATTTGGGCCTTCCAAGCACAGATCCGTGAGACAGACTTGCATGAGTCATTGCTGTGGACTGTAGGCCTTTAATTGGACTTGTGGGGGGCTCTAGGTCTTCATCTGGACTCATGCAGGACATTTAGGCCCTAGTGTGTGGACAGATTTCCTGCACTTTTTTGTACTTCACTCTTGGCATGACTATTATAAATAATACTATAAATCATGTGTCCTGTATTGTCCTGTTCCCTTTGAAATCCCTGACTACAACAGGAAACATTTTAAAAGGATAAAATTTCTCTGATTCAATAATCTGACTGGATTTATCTAGCTGAATTAAACCTTACTTAGAAAGGGAAAAACAAAACAAAACAATAACCCAGATGTACTGGTCCATGTGTGTTGAGGCAGGAGGATTACTGCAAGTTCAGCATGGGCAATATGGTGAGACTGTCTCAAAAAAACCTGAATGAACAAATAAATAAAAACCTTTAAAAATAGAAAAAAGAAGAGAAAGAATAAAAAATCACATCTAAGTTGAAGTTAGATTTTTTTGGCCCAAATGGTGAACTGATTTTAAATTTTGATAGATAAGGCCAAATTGTCCTCCAAAACAATGATACTCCCTTACAGTCCCACCAGTATCGAATTTTTGGGGTGGAAAATGTTAGGATCCTTCATGTATCCAGTGTTACAGTGTTGCCCTAACTGATCTTCCCACTGAAGTCTTCTCTCTTTTCCAAATCATCCCATACATTGTTAATGGAGTCATCTTTCTTGTGCTTAGTTCTAATAATATCTCGAAAAGATTTTTACTGGTATTTCACTGCCTGCAGAATTAAGTTCCCCCCTTTCAATCCCTATTTTAGGACTTCTCCTGTCCCAGCTTCCTTCTTCTCTAGCACACATTTCTTAAGGGCTGGTCTTCCCATTTGCACAGAAAGACTGATTCAAGCTTTGACTACATCCTTTCTATCTTTCCATCCCCTACAAAGTTTCACATCAGAACCGGGAAGCTTATTAAAGGGAGGGCTGCAGAGTTTGGATTGACTTGTTGGCAGGTGTGGCTTAGGGTTGGTTTGTTTGGGTTTCTTTTGTTTTCTGGAGTCCAGGTGACTGAAAGGAGCAGACAGGGCTGTGGCCCCTCCTCACCCCCTGTTCAGCCTTTTGACACAGTAACTAGGAGAGTGTTGCCTGCTCCGCCTTATGCCTGTGTTGGAACCTGGAGTATCTTTAGTCCTCTGTAACCTCACCATGGAGCCTTCCTTGAGCCCCACCCAGCAACTTCTCTGCTTCTTCCTTCCAGCACTTTGTACCTTCCTGCTGACGCTGGTTATGTGCTGCTGTATAACATCTTTTAAGTTATATTTTCTCTATGAGGTTGTCAACTCTTTGAAAAAAACTGTAACTAACTTACCCTACTCACCACCCTGTGCTCCCAGGGGCCTTCATTCAGCAGGGGGTCAGGATTTTCTGGGTACTTCTTCCTTCTGCTCAGTTGTCCCTTTTGTCCAGCTCCCTCTTCCCAGTTGTTGCCATGGCTTGGTGTCTTCTGACCGAGGTGGTCATCCTTGATTGCTCTGGGGCATATGGCCTTGCTGCCTTTCCCTGTACTCCTTCTTCCCCCTGATTAGTCTCCAAACAGCTGTCACCAGCTGTTTATTACCTGGGCTTCCCATGAGGAAAAGCCTTCCTTGTAATCCCACTACCCAGTTCCTAGCCTATAGTACGTGTTTGGGAAATATTCATGAAATGTAATGAATGACTTTTATGAATACTTTATTTTGTAGGATGATTATTATTTTGTTTTACTTAAGACAGGATCTTGCTATGTAACCCAGGCTGGCTTTGAACTCACAGCAGTCTCTTGCCTCAGCCTCCCAAGTGCTGAGATAATAGGTGTGCACCTCCTCCATGCCTGGCTTATTTCGTACAGTCCTTAGAACAATCCACAGTGAGATAAGGTAGACATTTCAAATCTGTCGTCAGATAAGGAAGATGGAGTTTCGAGAGCAGGGCCAAGCCTTTGGCCCAAGTTCACACACTTTTGCATGACAGAATTTAGCTGTCCAGAATCCTGATCTGTAGCTCTCAGCACCACCCTCTGTACTTTCCAGATGTTTTCCAGCTGTTCCGCTTGTTGGTCCTTCCTCTCGTGCACACCCAGGCTCACTCCTAAGGAGAGAGGAGCGCAGGTCAGGAGTGCAAACAAAGGCCCACACACCGAACTGTGCACTATCAGCAAAGCACAGCTGAGTCAGCAGTAAAGAGCCTCTGTCTTCCTCCTGAGACCGAGCCCCGCAGAACCGTGTTAAAGGCCAGGCTCACAGGCAGAAGGGCAGGCTCCTCATGCAGCCACATGGCAACCTGGCCTGTCCTTCTCTTCCCTCTCTTGTGGTTCCTTGCTTCTGTGCAGCCCTAACCCTTACCTGACCTGGGACCAGACAGATCAGCTCTTGTCCATCCTGTGGAGGACACACCTGAGAGGAGACCATGTAGGCTCCAGAAAGCAAGGCTTGGGCTAAGGGGACAGAGAGTTCTGTGTCCTGGGAAATTGGTTTCTGACAGGGTGGGGTGGGGTCCTTTAGCTTTGTAGACTTTTCCTCCAATGGTGTCACTTGGCTTTGCAGCTGGAAGAAGCCCAGAGTAGGGTGCATTTTGGTTAGACCTGGGGTGGAGCAGAGCCTAGCTCTAACATCCCTGCAACTGGTCTGGCATCCTGAGCAGCAATCGCACATGGATTGAACCTCAAGGAAAGAAGCTCACCTCTGTGATTTGTTTATCCTTAAACAAGCGCTGGATGAGATAATCCTGAAATGGATTCTTTTATCTTCTTAGATAATAGGTCACAGTAGGTGCTCAGCCATGCCCACCCGATTTACTTGTGGAGTTTGTTCATATGCCCTTATACTGTGACCTCTTCACTTTTCTTAGACTCATGCCTGTGGACACATGTTAACACGCATGGAACATGCATGTGCACACCTACCCTGTATACTCATCTGCCCTTCGACTGCACTGCTACACCAGCTGAGCCCTGGGAGACCTTTTCTTATGCACTGAGTGCTCCAACTCCTAACACCTGTCAGTTTCCTGCTGTGGCCAGGATCTGAGGGATCGCTCCATCTTTACAAAGCGATGCCCCTGAATCGTCTGTGTTGGCTCAGAGTTGTGATTGTTATTTTTATTTACAAATGTCCCTGAGTTGGCTGGGAATGGTAAGGTTGGGGGCTCCTCCCTTTAACACCCTAAGGTCCAGGACAGGTGGGTACCTAATGGAGGCAGTGGATGCTCTAGTTCAAATCATAACTATGTAATGAAGGCATGTTGTGCAATGGGAAATCATCAGCCAGTAGACACCATATCTGAACTACATAACAATTTAGTGGGGGAGGCAAAACACATATCCATAAAAGATAAAATAACATACAGGATTAAACAAGTCAGGAGCTGCCCAAGGCAGTGGTTTGTGGTCAGTGAGGTGTTTTTATTTGACAAATTCCAAGAACATAAAAGCCACAAACAAGACATCCCAAGTCTAGGGCCGTAGTATTCATGGACTCAGACAGACAGTGCTTCCACTTACATGCTTCACAGACTGTGTGCCTGAACACAGGTTTTGTTTGGAGGGTGAAGAATGGGAGGAACAGTACTTCAACTGCTAAGAACAATAGCCATTTCTGATGGGTGGCATATTGACAAAAATTAAGGGACATCAGCAAAAGCTATCTGTGACTTTTATTCTCATTTTCCCTGAAACTAACAGATAGGTGCTTACAACAGTTGCCCCCCCCCCTTTTTTTGAGAGTCTATGTAATTGAATTCATGTTGTAGCCCAAGCTGGCCTTAAACCACCACTCTCCCCCAGCCTAGCCTCCCGAGTGCTGGGATTACAGATCACGAGGCCCGGTTTGCCAAAAGTATCTCCTGATGATTCTCTGTGCTGGCTGGACCGTTTGCCCTGCACGCTGTGCTGTCCTCTGGGCTTATCAGGGGAGCTGGTCTAACAGCAAGCAGGATCCTTCGGTCCCTGTGGCTAATTCACATTTTCCACCGCCATCCATATTTTTTTTTTTTTTTTTTTTGTAATATAAGATAGTGTCCCCCATATACAGACAGTATCTGGCTGGTGCAAGGTCTCCAATAGGCTGCAACCCTCGCAAACTGCTATTTCTGCACTGCGTGATTCCCACCCCGAGGGTCCTCAGAGTCGGACGCCTGGCACACAGTAGGTACAGATAAATGTCATCTCCCTTCTTCATTTCCTCCCAGAAACTCTACCCCCGCCCCAAGCCAACTTCTCCACCTCCCGTGGGTGATGCGGTCCCCGGAAAAGGCCTGGAGTGGGGGTGTCTCGCCAGCGCCACCCCATTCCATTCAGCGGCCGCTTCCGAAGCCCCACTCGGCAGGGCCAGCCCCGCGCCCGCCGCCCCCGCTGCCCGCCGCCCGCTCCCCGCAGAGCCGCGCGCCCAGGAGGCGGCGGAGGGGCGGGCGAGGCCCCGCGGCGGAGGCGCCGGCGGCCGGGAGGGGGTGCTCGCCGCCCCGAGCCGGCCGCGCGTTGCCCGGCAGCCGCTCGGAGGCTCCGAGGGGGCGGAGCGGCCCGGCCCCGGTTCCGGCCCCCGCTCGCCGCTCGCCGCTCGCTGCGCGCCGCCGGGGCGCCCCGTCCCCCGAGCCCCGCGCCGCCCGGGCCGAGCGCGCCGAGCCGAGCCGGGCCGGGGCGCGGCCGGGACCCGGGGCCATGGAGCCGCCGCCCGCTCTCCTCGCGCGCCGCCGCCCCCGGCTGCTGCTCCCCGGCCTGTGGCTGCTGCTGCTGCTGGCCCGGCCGGCCTCGTGCGTCCCAGGTAAGCCCCGCCGGGACCCCCGCTCTGCGCCGGCCCCTGCCAGCCCCGGTGCTCCCCGCCCAGCCTCTTTTATTCTCCACGGCTCCCTCGCCCTGCCTCCTGGAGATGATTTTTCCATTCTTCTGGGGCCCAGCAAATAAAGAAACGGAGGAGATGAATCAATAAAAGGCGAAGGAGCGAGCGGATTCCGGCCAGGGTTGCCCCAGGGCTGCAGAACAGCCCTCCCGTGCACCGTGGAGCCCGGGGCGGGTCTGGGGCTTCGGCTCAGAATGCGCCTCGTTTTCTTGCACCGTGCGGGCCTGGGGTTGGCTGTGCATGGCCGGATGGATGTGACGAGCTGAGTGTTTCAGGGTACTTGATTGTCCTGGCGTAGGGGCCCCTTCGCTATGGTCTTTGAGTCAGTATTGCATCGCCCTGTGCAACCGGCATTCTCCTCCTGATGCGGGCGGGATGGCCGGGTCCCCGTGCTCCAGGACACAAAGAACATTCAAAGAAAATCTCTTGGAAAGCGCCCTGGCCGTGGGTCTTTCCAGGGAAACCGCTATTGGTGTTACTTCTGCAGAGGCATTATTAGTAAGAGGCAATGCGAAAATATTTTGATATTAAGAGTCAGGGCATGAAAGAAGTAAGGGTTGTTTTTTTATCATAGATATGATTTAGGGACTGTTCATTGGGATGGAGTTAAGAGGCAGAATTTATGAAGAGGCATGTGGATGGGTTTTGTTTGAAGAGGAAATAATTGGATTCATATTGGATCTCGGTCATGTTTATTTGTCCACCCAGAGCGCACACACAAGCAGGCCTGGAGACTGTGTCTCAGTGGACACGCTCACCACACGCCTGTGATTGCACCACAGGCACACACTGGACCACTTTGTGGGTGGACAAGGGAAGGTGGAAGCGCAGCTTGGGGTGGGAAGCTGCTGTGCACAGAAACAAGAGAGCCAGGAGAGCCGCTCAGAATCCTCCCTTCTGGTGGAGCCCGGCCAGAGGACTGCCAAGTGGCTCTAGATGGAAGGTGTCCCTTGGGCCTGATTGTTGGCATCAGAACCACTGTCATGCCTGAAACTGTACAATGGAGCCCAGGAGGGGACTTCAGGGATCATAAAACGGGCCATGCTGCTTGCTACGGGGGAAACTGAGGCAGAGAAGGGACTTGCTCAAGGTCACAGGCTGGTCTGTGCTGAAGCATCGCTTTACCACACCCCTTGTTCTGGAGGCACAGACAAATACCTACCTGAAGCCCCCACGAAGATGTCCCCAGATTGGGTGGAATCCCGCTTCAGGGAGCCACACAAGAGCTGGATCAACAGAGAAGTCTCACTTAGGTAGTACAAGCTGCTGCGGACGACTTTGCCCAGCCTCACACCTCTGGCTTCAATCCTGCCTGGGTGAGCTCCAGTCCCTTGTGCCTGGAAGAGGAAGGATGATCCTTTTTTGGTGGGGGATACTGGGAGTCGAACTCAAGACCTCTCACTTGCCAGGCAGGTACTGTGCCACTGAGCCATATCCCAGCCCCAAGAGGGGATGCTCCTGGAGCATGCTCATGGCTTTCGTCAACAAAGAAAGTCCGTCCTGTAATGCCAGCTACTTAGGAGGCTGAGATGATCATGGATTCTTCTGTTATGAAACACAGCAAAGTAATTGTTGACATTTGTCAAATAGTGTCTCGCATTCTGGGTGCTGGATCTTATATATGAGATCCAGCCACATTATTTGTTAGGCGTCACTAACCCTGTTTTACAGATGAGGAGACTAAGGCTTCAATTTCTGTGGAGTTCGCTCCAGATTCTATGGTACACTGGACCTCTAGCCTCTCCAATTTCTCCACCTACATCTACGGCCACCTGGATATTCTGCAGAAGTGGAAATATAAGCTCTTCTGATAAAGTAAAAATTAACAGTGAAGCTGTCATAACTCATATTTTCTCTCTGCAGAACTCAGGATTGAAACAAGGCCTTTGAACTTAGCTATGTATTCAATCCTTTAAAAGAATTTTGTTTGTGTGTTTGTTTTTGAGACAGTGTCTTGCTATGGAGTCCAGCCTGGCCTCACACTCTGGGTGATTCTCCTGTCTCGGATGATCCTGAGCGCTGGGATGGTAGGCATGTGTCACCACATCTGGGGGACAAGGTCTCACTAAGTCACCAAATTGCCTAGCTACACTCAAATCTGTGATCTTTTTGCCTCAGCCTTTCAGCGTGCTGGGATTAGCATGCACCAGCATGCACCCCCATACCTGGTTGCTTTCTTTTTCTTAGAACGCTATTCTGCGTTCCTTTTACCCATAATCCAAATATTTAACCTGGAGACATCAAATTATGTTTCTATTCTAGAGCAGACATCATGGAAGCAGAGACACCACCCTTTCATTAATTCACGGATCAGGGCCCCTGGTTTGCACAGTTGGGCCTTGCCCGGGTAGTAGACAAAGAACTCAGAATGAGTTAGAAGGTGGCATGGCTCAGTCCTGTCCTGCTCTGCCCCGTCTCCCATCCCTTTGGCAGGAGTTAATAGAGTCTGCTTTCTAACAGTCCCTGTATTGCAACGTTTAGTTAAATTTCTGTGCTGTGTTGATTTCTCATCTATTTTTATTTCATTCAACATTTTGAATGTGCTCTCTCTCTCTTTCTCAAACATTTACAAGTTTGGTCTTGACTGTTCACTGTCCTGGAAATAACTTGTAATACTTTGGACTTTCTGTTGGACGTGGTGCTTTTAGGCAAAGAGCCATGCACAACATAACAAGGAAGAATAGTGCCCATTTCATCATCTTGGCAGAGAGAAATCTCTTTAAAAGTCATTGTCATTGTGACATTGATAGTTTTGCAGAATCTGGAAATTCCTGCAAGGTATGGAAAAAAGTTACCTATAACCCCAGAGCCCAGAGTTATCTAACTCTAAAAATAGTCTTTTTTGGTTAACCTTAAAAAAATGAGAATCAAATTATGTGCACCATTGTATTTACAGTGGACTCTTTAGTTACGGCCAGCCTGACGTATGAACAACTTGGTTAATAACTAGAATTTTAGTTTTAACTTAGGACCAAAGTCTTGAGTTATGACCTGAATGTCAGTGGTTTGTGCTTCTAGATGGTCTCCAATATAGATTTAACCCTTAAAGAGTTCTGGAAGGGACATTCCAATATCCTTAGCTGTCTGGGGTTAGCTGAGAAATCCTGGGCCAGTGTCTCTCTAAGGACACTGAGATCTGTCTTTGTACAGGAGAGAGACTTTGAAGGCTGTGTAGAGGAGCTGGAGCCTTCAATCCACACCCTGGGTTACAGCCAGCCTTTGGGAACGAAGTGAGTTCATAAGTCAAGGGTCCACTGTCCTGCTTTTTTCACTCAATATTTAACTTAAGCATTTCCCTATTCATGAAATATTTGACAGAGTTTCTCTATTAACAATGCGATTATTCTTTTATTTCTAGCTTTTTAGATCTGTTACAAATAATGTGAGGATGAATTGCTACATAGATCAGGTTTTGTATTTTTTTTCTGTGTCTATGGATCTTCTAAGATAAATATTTGGAGGAGGGGAACAGGATGGGGTTGAACTGTCAGGCTTACCTGCCTGGATTTCTGATGTTTTGTTCAGAGTGTTGGATGCCTAGTAGGTTGCTGAAGATGTAGGTGTTCAGTTTTTGAAACCTGTACTGCTGAGCCTTTGGGGTTTATGCAGTTGGCTTCCATCATGGTCTGTGCTGAATATTATTTTTAAAATCTTGTTAAATAAATTTGTAATACATTATTTTAATTTGTACTGTATTATTTTTAGCATGGAATAGTTTTTATTTTGTTTGTATTCAGTAAATTTTCTGGGTTTTTTGTTCATTGGTCAGTTGCAGTATATGCATATATACGTTTTAAAATCTATATAGCATATGGATAGCAACCATTGCTCCTTCTATTTACTGTATTTTTTTCCCCTTCTGATGGATTTTAAGTCTTACATAATTTTGAAGTGCAGAAGTTTCTGGTTATTTTGAGTAGCAAAATCTGCTGTTTTGTTTTTCTTTTTATGATTTTTTTCTATGCATCCATGCTTATGGCATGTTAAATTTGTATTCTTAGTGTACTGCTTAATTATTGGCTATTTCAAGGGGAGTATTTGTTACACTTTTGCATCGAAGACTTAGATACATGTTTCAGAATGCATGGTTGGTTAACCTGCATCAGCCTCATTGGTGCTTGTTAAGAATTTAGGTTTCCAAGTCTTTATATTGGTAATTGAGGAGTATTCTTTTGAACAACTTCACAGCTCATTTTTAGTGACTTTGTAATTTAGAACTACTGTGAGGATACCGTAAGCCCAGCTACATGACAATTAAAGAGTATTTTGGAGCTGCATCTTTAATACCTTGCCCTTGTCTTTTCGCTTTCTAAGCAGTGGATTTAAAATCATAGTAGCTAGCCGATTTTGGTTTTCTCCCATTGGCTGGTACCAGGAGCTCCCTCTTGGTCCCTGGGGCACAGCTGCACAGTTCTTATCAGGAAGCGCCTCCTCCCCTGGCGTGGAAACAGAAACCACCAAAGAGTTGTTGGAAGTCCAGAGGGATGGGCAGCCCTGGGTGATAGAGGCAGCTAATTACTGTCATTATAATTACACTAGGTGGATTGCCTCAGATAGAAACTAACTGATCTCATCTGTTTTCTAGTGACAGCCTCTTTTCATCTGGAGCTCAGTGTGTGCTCAGGCAGCAGGACTTGTTGGATGGTGAATTAGAAAACCTGAGTGTGCACATTTCCCCTCCATAACTTACTCTGTGGTGTAGACAGATGGCTTTGTCCTGGATTTCCCCAGCAGTGGGAGAGGACTGAGTGAGACAGCTCTAATTCCCTTTTGGCTCTTGAAGTCCCCAGTGCGAGTGCCCCGGGATACATCCTTGATGGACAGTGAGGTCTTGTTTCAGTGCACGGTCTTTGTGATGCTGCTTTTCTTTGCCTAGTGGATATTCTAGGCTAATAACTTCTTAGAGACAGTTCACTCTTGTCACT